TACGCTGTAATTGGTGTGACTTGTGTGTAGTTGCGTAACCTACTTCACCTGACCCACATGTACACCACAGGCTGTCGAGCGGTTTGGGTTTACTGCTGTCTACATTAGATTCTACTGTAGAATAGATTTTAAATCAGCTCTGCTTGTGTACAAGTCTCTCCATGTCCTCACACCAAAGAACATAAGGGACATGTTAGTTAGTGACAGAGTCAGATCTAAACATGGCAAGGCTGCATTTCAAATTCACACAGCTGAAATCTAAAACAGTCTTCCTGAAAATGTGAGACAGGCTTCTTCTCTGATGATGTTCAAATTCAGGTTAAAACAGTTCTGTTTAGATGTGCATACAACTGAGGGATTGTATCTTCTTAATGTACTGTGATTATTTATGATTTTAATGCTTTGGGTTTTGTTCAGCATTTTGGTTTGCCTAGTGTATGAATTGTGCTATACAAATAAACTTGACTTGCCTTACATTACTACACAGAACAAAAAGATAAGGTGCAAATTGGGTAAAAGCATTCGTTTTGTCGCGCCAGAGAGTAAAAAAAGGGGAGTTTTTGGTCGAAATCCGGGTATTTTGCCATAGACTGAATATGGGCATTTCTAACCCGCTAGCTCAAGGAAGCCCATAGAGAAGTGCTCATGGACGAAGTTCTCAAAATCTCCAGCTAGCTAATGTTCAAATCAGCCTTTTCCTCATTACGGCTGACACTATGGTGATGTCAGCAATCTTGTCTTGGTTGTAGATTTGGGTTTAATTCTGGTTTAGCCCCAACTGAGACACATGGGTAAATATGTGTTCTTTAAAAGCAGAGGAAAGGAAAAGGAAGAAAAGGAAAATATTTTGTAATGAATTTGGATGCAGCCGCTGTGTGTGACTTACCCGCTCTACTTGACCCTCCCTCTGCTTGCTCTTGTAGATCCTGAGTTTGGGAAGCTCCGTCTCTGCGTAGTTCTTCTCTTCAAAACCTTGCAGCAGTCGTCCCTGGAAGGCCAAGCGGCACGCGTTGGCATGAATGTCCGTGTCCAGCTTCGAACCAATCACCAGGCAGAACAGCGGACACGTGACCGGCCTCTCGAACTCCAAAAGCGCCCACTGCTCCGGATCCGCACCTTGCCCTTCCCCTTGACCAGTCATATACTCATCTTGGTAGAAATACTCTCTGTCAAAATCAAAAACGGTTTCTAGTGGATTTGGCGCAGGCGAATGTACGTCTGCTGCTCCCGGTGGCAGCCCGAAGAATGACACTTTGGCCATCACGGTCTCATGTCCCACGGTGATGTGGAACTTGGCGCGGGTCGACAGCGCGCCTTTGAAGTAGCCAATCTTGCGCGCAGAGATGGCGGCGGCGTAGAGCGTGCGCAGGGAGCCGGGAGTGCACACCACGCCGCGCTCCAGGAGTTTGGGGTCAAACTGGGTCACGCACACGCCCACGCGGTCGCCCTGCATCGCAGCCGAGACAGGCTTACGGAACATCTGGATGGACTTCACCTTCTTGGTCACCTGAAACAGACAAAGACGCATGTTGTAATCCAACTGTAGTGAAGGAAAACAAAACATAAAAACTACTTACGGTAAGTTAAATGTTAAAGAATGAAAAACTTACAGTTCCTTTTGAAAGTGTCAATACAGATTTTGCACATTAGATCACCACAAAAAAACGTTTATATTTATTATATATTACTATTATATGATTGATTTATGACTGAAAGACCACAACAAAGAAACTGAAGTATCAGTGAAGTGAAAAGAGCTTCCTCGGGGTTCTGAAGGCCCGGTCCTCAGGGTTCTGAAGGCTCGGTCCTCAGGGTTCTGAAGGCTCTGTCCTCAGGGTTCTGAAGGCTCGGTCCTCAGGGTTTTGAAGGCTCGGTCCTCAGGGTTCTGAAGGCTCGGTCCTCAGGGTTCTGAAGGCTCGGTCCTCAGGGTTCTGAAGGCTCGGTCCTCAGGGTTCTGAAGGCTCGGTCCTCAGGGTTCTGAAGGCTCGGTCCTCAGGGTTCTGAAGGCTCGGTCCTCAGGGTTCTGAAGGCTCGAGCCTCAGGGTTCAGAAGGCTCGGTCCTCAGGGTTCTGAAGGCTTGGTCCTCAGGGTTAATAATAATAATGATGCATCGGCTTTATATAGCGCTTTTTTTGGACACTCAAAGACGCTTCACATGTGTCATTATTCATTCACTCCATACACAGTGGTGATAAACTACTAATGTAGCCACAGCTGCCCTGGGGCACTCTGACAGAAGCGAGGCAACCAGTATGTGCCATCGGCCCCTCTGACCACCACCAACCATTCACACACACGCCAGACTCATTCTAGGCAATGGGGGTGAAGTGTCTTGCCTAAGGACACAACGGCAGTTTGGCACTTTACAGCCGCAGCCGCCCCACTGTGGCTGGTGTTTCCAGAGGTTAAGTGTCTTGCCAAGGACACAACGACAGTAGTCAGTGGGATTCAAGGCAAGGCAAGTTTATTTGTATAGCACAATTCATACACAAGGCAACCCAAAGTGCAAAACAAAACAAAACAAGAAAGCATTAAAATCATAAATAATCACAGAACACTAAAAATAAAGATAAAAATATAAAATCCCTCAGTTGTATGCACAGCTTGTCTTAATCATTGTCAGAGAGGAGGCCTGTCTCACATCTTCAGGAAGATTGTTCCAGATTTTAGCAGCATGAATCTGAAAAGCAGCCTCCCCATGTTTAGTTCTGACTCTGGGCACTAACAGGAGTCCAGTCCCTGTGCTCCTCAGAGTCCGGGCTGGTTCATATGGGACTGACATGTCACTAATATATTTTGGTGCGAGGCCATGGAGAGACTTGTACACAAGCAGAGCTGTTTTAAAGTCTATTCTCTGAGCCACAGGAAGCCAGTGCAGAGACCTGAGGACCGGACTAATGTGGTCGTACTTCCTGGTTCTAGTCAGGACTCGAGCTGCTGCATTTTGAATGTACTGCAGCTGTTTTACAGCCTGTTTGGACAGACCTGTGAGCAGGCCATTGCAGTAGTCTAACCTACTGGAGACAAATGCATGGATAAGAATCTCCAGGTCTGCTTTAGACACTATGTTTTTGATCCTGGCAATGTTTTTTAGATGGTAAAAAGCTGCTGATGTTACTGATTTGATGTGGCTATTAAAATGTAAGTCTGAGTCCAGTATTACCCCTAGATTTCTGACTTTGTTTGAAGGTTTTAGGGAGAGAGACTGTAGGTGACAGATGACGCTCTCTCTTTGTTTCTGGGGACCAAAGACAATAATTTCAGTTTTGTCTGCGTTTAGCTGAAGGAAGTTGTTTTGCATCCACTCACTGATCTGTTGGATAGAGTGAAGGAGTGAGTCCACTGGTCCATGTTCTCCTGCAGTCAGTGAGACATAGATCTGAGTGTCGTCTGCATAGTTGTGATAGGACACTTTGTTTCTGCGTATGACCTAACGGCAGCATGTAGAGATTGAACAGAAGAGGTCCCAGGATCGACCCCTGTGGTACTCCACAGGTCAGGGCCATATAATCTGAGACACAGTTTCCAATCTCTACAAAGTACTTCCTGTCTTCAAGGTAAGACCTAAACCAACTTAGGGCGGTGCCAGCGACGCCAAACCAGTCCTCTAATCTCTGTAGGAGGATCACATGGTCGACAGTGTCAAAAACTGCACTTAGATCTAACAGGATTAGGATTGAGACTTTGCCTGCGTCAGTGTTCAGCCGGATATCGTTTGTAACCTTGACGAGGGCAGTCTCAGTGCTGTGGTGGGGTCTAAAGCCGGACTGAAACATATCAAATGAGTTGTTGATTATAAGAAATCTAGTAAGCTGTTGGTAGACAACTTTTTCAAGGACTTTCCCCATAAATGGCAGATTTGAGATGGGACGATAGTTGTTCTGAAGGCTCTGTCCTCGGGGTTCTGAAGGCTCGGTCTACATGGTCCAGAAGGCTCAGTCCTCTGGGTTCAGAAGTAGCAATTTCCTAGCTTGTGGCTTTCTGTTACTTAGTTACAATGGTATATGGTGTAGACAAGTTATAAAAAATAAAAAAAATAGAAAGGCATGCATAAAAATAGAAATAAACTGAATAAAATACTAATATATACACACATGTTTGACCCATAATGCTATTTTACCAGGTTGGGTCCATGTGTTTTCATTTTCTGCTCTTCTCCCAAAGGACTCAGCCACCTGGGTCAAATGCTGCCAAATAACCCACAGTTATGGGTCAAATTCAGATTCTTCATAATGTTTTCAGGAGCTGGCTGCTGTAACACATCTATTTTTCATGCAAAAAATAATGCCATTCTAATCTAAATCTAGCATTTAGCCTTTTTAATATGTGTGAGATTATGAGACGACAGAAGTTTAAATAATTAAACAAAACGATAAAATCTTTGCAACAGTAAAGACTTGTGGAATTGTGTCTGTTTTAAGTCCTTTACGGTACATCTTGCAGCCCGACAACGTGAGCCGTAAAAATCGCTTTTCGATGCTGCATTTATAGAGCGTACGAAAAGGCTAGACGGTGAATTTCACGCGTGTTTGGGATTTAAAGTTTGAAAAATGTCGTTGTGGTCGCAGATTTACTTCCTGGTAGGACACGGACAGCAGACTGAGTAACCAGGGTAACCACAAGACAAACAGGAGCCAAAACGTGTTGAACTTGCATTACTATTATTACTCATGGTTTGAAGCAGAAATCAATTCATGTGGCCCTAATGTCATCTTTGAGATCATAAACACAAGTTCACAGTGTCAGCTCCTCCAATATATGCATGTAATACCCTGTATAGATCAGAACCTCACAAATCCAGTTTATTACTTTATAAGTGTAATGAAGACAGACAGAAGCTTTGGATTGTGTCCTAAAATTCCATATAAGGCGCTAATATAGCTGTGGTGAGAACGTTTGCACTAGTGAACTACCTGTCTGTTAAATGTCAATCAATATGAGCATATGAAACCATTTTAATAGCTCAGAATCCAGTCAAAACAGCTTTAAAATCTGGGTTGTCGGCCCCTGGACAAGTCTGGAGAACTAAAGTGGCCTTCTAACTGAAATGTTTGGACACCTCTGCATTTAATGGACTCTTAAGTTATGTCATTTAGAACACTGCATAACTTTAGTTCAGCTCCTTATGAGAAACTACAGTTGACTAAAGCAAAGTCTAATGTATTCACTACTAGGGCTGGGCAATAAATCTATTTTAGGGGCACGAGGCCTGTAAGTTAATATGTAACTGCAGAAAATCACTTTCACTTTCCCTTCAGCCCCTGAGCTCTGTGGCGGGTGCAACTCGACGGAACAGCGGCACAGCTGCAGACAGAGGTAAGACCAGTTTTTGTCTCATAACAACAAAGTATTATGAGATTAAAGAGAACATGGGACAGCTAACTTTAGAGAAACCAGTGAGAGACCAGGGAGAAAACAGAAAGACCAGAGAAAGACACAGGGAATGACCAGAGAGAGACCAGAGATAGACACAGGGAATGACCAGAGAGAGACCAGAGAAAGAGAGAGACCAGAGATAGACACAGGGAATGACCAGAGAGAGACCAGAGAAAGAGAGAGACCATAGTTAGACACAGGGAATGACCAGAGAGAGACCAGAGAAAGAGAGAGGCCAGAGATAGACACAGGGAATGACCAGAGATAGACACAGGGAATGACCAGAGAGAGACCAAAGAGGGAGACCAGAGAGGAACCAGTGAAGGACCTGCGTCAAGGTGTTTATTTATGGTGCAAACTAGGAAGAGGACAAAATATGTAAGTAAAGTAAGTGGGTGCGGTGTGTGTGTGTGTGTGTGTGTGTGCGTGTTTGGATAACAAATTATTATCAGAACGTGGCTTATCTTCAGTCTCAGGAAACAGGCTGCACATTGGTGTCCTTGAGGTGAAAAGAATGAGAGATTTTACTGTTTGTAAAGTTTGTTATTTATCATCCATCACCTCAACATTAACACTTCCAGATATTAGTTGGATATAGTGCATTCATGGTAGTGCTATATACCATCACACCAGAGAGAGAGAGCAGAAAGTAAAAGACCAGGGAGACCAGAAAGAGACCCAGACAGACCAGAGAGAGACCAGCGGGAGAAACTAGAGAGAGCGATTCAAGTCGGACCAGAGACACCTGCGAGAGACTCAATAGAAACCAGAGAGAGAGACCAATTTAATGTAATTCACATGTATGCATTACACTACTTAGTTACTGTACACAAAAAGTAATCTAATTACTTGTTACTGAGTTCCACCGCTGCTTTGGGCAGAGAGCTGATTGGGCTGATAGGGTCACAAACTGTTACTTTTACAAGACTCCGTTGGACAAACATTGTTTTATTAATAGGACAAAATGGTTGAAGGAATTTCTCTTCTCGGACAGCGATGGCGATGGCGTGGCCGATGCCAATGGTTGCGGCTAACCCCACCGTAGCACAGGGCTGCTTTGGGAAAGTCTACAAGGAGATCTACAATGGTCAATGGGCAGCTGTCAAAAAAGTCCCCTGTAACAGGGTTCAACTCGAAGACCTGCAGCGAGAAGCTAAAGTCTACAAGTAAGTACAGGGATACTGTGTGTGGTAAGGTGCTCCTGCTGAGAGAATATAAACATATAAATATCTGTGTTTTTCTTCATCCACAGAAAAGCTGTTCATCCAAACATTGTGAGAATCCTGGGGCCCATTACAATCCAAGACTTTAAATACGTCATCCCTCTGGAGTTCATCTTTGGGGAGGACTTGGAGACAGCTCTGTTCAAGCCTCAACAATCCAAAATGAGAGTGGGTTTGAGTTCAATCCATGAGCTGATTATTCAGTATTTAATGTTGGTTATACTACAAGATGGATCATTATTTTATATTTACAACTTTCTGAATATTAACAGATAAAAAATGTCACATACAAAAATCAAACCTAGATCTACAGCCTCAGTCCTGGATCTGCAGCCTCAGTCCTGGATCTACAGCCTCAGTCCTGGCTCTACAGCCTCAGTCCTGGATCTACAGCCTCAGTCCTGGATCTACAGCCTCAGTCATGGATCTACAGCCTCAGTCATGGATCTACAGCCTCAGTCCTGGATCTACAGCCTCAGTCCTGGATCTACAGCCTCAGTCCTGGATCTACAGCCTCAGTCCTGGATCTACAGCCTCAGTCCTGGATCTACAGCCTCAGTCATGGATCTACAGCCTCAGTCCTGGATCTACAGCCTCAGTCATGGATCTACAGCCTCAGTCATGGATCTACAGCCTCAGTCCTGGATCTACAGCCTCAGTCCTGGATCTACAGCCTCAGTCCTGGATCTACAGCCTCAGTCCTGGATCTACAGCCTCAGTCCTGGATCTACAGCCTCAGTCATGGATCTACAGCCTCAGTCCTGGATCTACAGCCTCAGTCATGGATCTACAGCCTCAGTCATGGATCTACAGCCTCAGTCCTGGATCTACAGCCTCAGTCCTGGATCTACAGCCTCAGTCCTGGATCTACAGCCTCAGTCATGGATCTACAGCCTCAGTCCTGGATCTACAGCCTCAGTCCTGGATCTACAGCCTCAGTCCTGGATTGAATTAAGTTTTCAACTTCAAGTCATTGTTATTTGACATCACATGTTTTACAAAACCTTTTTTATACATGATTCAGATCTTGCTCTTTGTTCCAGTTGACAAGAGATATGATAAAAACAATCATCAGGGGCATGTGTGAGGGCCTGCTCTACATGCACTCCAAAGACATCGTCCACCAAGACTTGAAACCGGACAACATCATGGTCAGTGCGGCAGCTTTATGTGTGTCTCTAAGGCCTCTCAGGCCTCTCTCCGGTCTCTCGCTGTCCGGCCCCTCTCTGGTCTCTCTCTGGTCTCTCTCTGGTCTCTCTTTGGTCTCTCTTTGGTCTCTCTTTGGTCTCTCTCTGGTCTCTCTCTGGTCTCTCTCTGGTCTCTCTCTGGTCTCTCTCTGGTCTCTCTCTGGTCTCTCTCTGGTCTCTCTCTGGCCTCTCTCTGGTCTCTCTCTGGTCTCTATCTGGTCTCTATCTGGTCTCTATCTGGTCTCTATCTGGTCTCTATCTGGTCTCTATCTGGTCTCTATCTGGTCTCTTTCTCTTAACCCGGGGGTTGCTTTTTTCAGATTCAGATTCAGATTCATTTTATTGCCATTTGCAGTAAATGCAGGAAATAATAACTGGCTTTTTGCACGAGTCTAACTTTACGTTTCTTTCCTTCAGGTGGAGGAGGGCACATACAGAGCCGTCATCATCGACATGGGACTGGCTAAGTTCTTCAGAAACGGCCTGAACTCTGCCACAGACATGGGCAACCTGGAGTACTCTGCTCCAGAGGTCCTGACTTGGGGCGTCCAGCGCAGCCAGAGCTCTGACGTTTGGGCCATGGGTAAAATCATCGCCGAGATGCGCAGCGGAGTCCGATATCCCAGAGAGCATGTGAATCCTAGGACTGTGAGCACCAGTATCAGGGGCAGTGTTTACTGCAACGTTGTGTGCAAGATGGTGAGGAAAAACCCAGCCGACCGAGCCTCCATGGCCCAAGTGATCAGAGAAATCAGGCAGGTGGAGAAGCCAACCCCTATATAAAAGTGATTGTCTGGAGTTTGTCAGAAAGAGAGACAGAGAGGTACTTGATTTGAAAAAAACGACGCAAGCTCCCTCCCCCTTCCTTTCTGATTGGTCTACACCTATGTTTCCGTAACACTTTGAAATGTTAATCAGAGAACACATTATACATATACATTATTAATACACATGCACGGAGGTTTTCAGAATTATTTGTGAACGTTTTAATGAAAAAAATAATGTTTTTATGCACAAAAAAAAGCAATCGCGGCAAACCAGGAAGTGCTATTATCATGAATTGCACATTATAGGACACATCTGCAGAGGATCTGATTATGGATATAGGTTCAGTATATAAATGGGTAACTCTGCGCGGATGTTCAGAATTCTTTGTTCAGTTTTCATGTAGTTCCAGAGCCTAATAGAGGCTTGATTCGGAGGCTCCGCAAAAACAAACAACTGAGCATGCGCGCAGCTGCGAGCATCAGCGCCGATGATTGACATCCCTTGGGATGACTCGATTGGTTAACCTCGACGGCATCGTGGATTCTGAACTATAGCTCAGAGCAGGGAAGGCGGGACTTGCCCGTAATATTAGAATTAATAAAATGACTTATTTTATATCAACATTTAAGGCCAGGAGGTCAATTTAACACATTTCCTAAAATTTGTAATTCATTTAGCGTTACAGACTATCACTTTAAGGCTACCTCCAAATCCAAACCTAATATTCCGGTTTTAAACCCTTTACTGTTCTCTGCTCTGTTTTAATTGTTGTCTGTGATGTATCTGTAAATTCTTCTTGGTCAGTTTTAATTGCTCTTGTGAAGCACTGCCATGTACACAAATTGTGCTATACAAATAAATGTTGATTGATTGATTGTTTGACATTTAATGACCCTAAACAGCTACAAGAGGCATACATCGACAACAGAAAACAAAACAAATGTAGCAATACGAGGCTCGTGGGCGCACGAAAAAAAGTAACCAGGGTATTTAAAGCTGCACTAACTGACTTTGGGATTTTGAAGCCGAGGACTCGCTGGCCTCTCTCTTTCTGCTCCCCTCTCTGCACCCACGCCCCCCACACACACCCACTGTTGTTGACGGAGCTACAGTGCCTTGCGAAAGTATTCGGCCCCCTTGAACCTTTCAACATTTCGCCACATTTCAGGCTTCAAACATAAAGATATAACATTTTTATTTTTTGTCAAGAATCAACAACAAGTGGGACACAATCGTGAAGTGGAACGAAATTTATTGGATAATTTAAACTTTTAAAAAAAATAAAAAACTGAAAAATGGGGTGTGCAATATTATTTGGCCCCTTTACTTTCAGTGCAGCAAACTCACTCCAGAAGTTCAGTGAGGATCTTTGAATGATCCAATGTTGTCCTAAATGACTGATGATGATAAATAGAATGCTCCTGTGTGTAATCAAGTCTCCGTATAAATGCACCTGCTCTTTGATAGTCTCAGGGTTCTGTTTAAAGCGCAGAGAGAACCATGAAGACAAAGGAACACACCAGGCAGGTCCGAGATACTGTTGTGGAGAAGTTTAAAACCGGATTTGGATACAAAAAGATTTCCCAAGCTTTAAACATCTCAAGGAGCACTGTGCAAGCAATTATATTGAAATGGAAGGAGTATCAGACCACTGCAAATCTACCAAGACCCGGCTGTCCCTCCAAACTTTCATCTCAAACAAGGAGAAGACTGATCAGAGATGCAGCCAAGAGGCCCATGATCGCTCTGGATGAACTGCAGATGTGTTAAATTCAACAGTCAAAATTCAACGAGAAAAAATTCAATGGTGAAAAATACACATGACACATCCGGTGTTCTGACCAGTTATGTGCTCTGTCAGTTGGTCTGCCCATAATGAACTCTGTTTTCTCTTCACTGACGTTGGAATCTCTCGTTATCTACATTAGACCCTTTAGAACTAATGGTGATTTTGTTAACTTAGAATATTTACGTTACGGTCACTGAAAGAAAGGGAGAGAGAGGTTTTTCATTGTTTACGGAGCGAGTGGAGCCGAAAGAGCACCGAACTTTTCTCTGGTCTCTCTCTGGTCATTCCCTGTGTCTTTCTCCGGTCTTTCTGGTTTCTCCCTGGTCAGCTCAAGAAATAAGGAGCCGCACTGTGTTCTTAGCGTTGTTACTTTATTTCAGAGACAACTCAGCAAATATCATTTAGTGTACAAGAGTTCAAGCTGTGGAATACATGTTTTTTGTTCATTCCTTTACATGGAGCTCTTTTTCAAGTAACACGAGTGAGCCCTGTGGAAACTGCTACACGGGAAACTAGACCCAAATACTGTGTAACGTAACCAACAATAACACTGTCCTTTGTTGCTATAAATGTTCAAATGTGATGGTTTTCATGAACACAAACAAACACACACAGCCTAAATAAATAAACAGGAATATACAGCAATAATGATTTACCCACATTTACCCAAAATGTACAAAAGACTAACTCATCAAATTAATGTAGTATCATCTTGTTATTCGCCTTGGTTTCATTACAATCCATTCATTAGAAATCCCATATGAACCTGTTAGATCCATGTTATCAACGGATGGACCTGCTGAAAGCTACGCCTGTCTTTACCTCAGTAAAATGACGCATGCGCAGACCAACTGACAGAGCACATAACTCGTCAGAACACCGGATGTGGCATTTTTCACCATTGAATTTCTCGTTGAATTTAACATTATGAAATTGATAATCAGTGACTGAAATTCACAGAAAAAAATATTCAAGATGTTAAAAACATTCAAATAGATGAAAACAGGTCAATTTAAAATTCAATTTCTGATGGAACAAATAATCTGTCCATAATATTGAATATTTTGAAGGTGAATATGTCATTTTGAAATTTTAATCACATTGAAATTTGTAAACTGAATTTTTAGTGACTGAAATGTAAAGATAAAAATATTCAAACATGCTTTTTCAGGGTTAAAAATTCCAAATGGAAACATTCAAGCTAAACAAAAATCTAAATCTGATGACACAAAAAATCTTCCATAGAGCTAGCGTCTCCCAATATGGATAATACATGGACATGGATTTGCACGTGGATGGCGTGACCATAGAACGATAGAACCGGGAAGCGCCGAGGAACGAGACTTTCTTTTGGATGGCTGTCTCGCTGTGTAAGCAGTAACCGGTGACGAAGACACGGAAGTTTCAGCTTAGCTCCTTGGCTCCTCTATGCTAACGGACCTGTAGATTTCTCACGAAAGTGGGGGCTAGTGGTCCGCTGTGATTGGTCACAATCCGCGACCCGAAACACATTCTCTTCTCTAAAATATAATGTCACACCAGCACAAATCTTCTTAAGGACTTATATCCCAATGCACTGCATGGACATGGATAGCATTTTCGTAATTAATACAAAAATAAAGTCAGTTAGTGCAGCTTTAAAGGAACAATATGTAAACATCTGGCCAAAAGTGGTACTGCAGTCACAGTCAATATTTTGTAGTCCTCTCCCACTCTCCCTGACTCAGGTTGCCAGATACACACCAAATCCAGCAGCAAACACAAGGAATTATTTTATCAGTTGTCTGTCTCCATTCACATTTCCATGAGGCATGCTAATGTTGAATGAATGTTTAATTATTATTTTTTTTTGGACATTTGAGATAAAAAACACAAAACAAAATAAAAGCAATGTAATTATAGATTATCCAAAATAAATAAGCAATTGATGTCCAAAATAGGAGTGGGACGAATGAATGTTGGAACGTATTTCTTCAGCGTATCAACATCAGAGTTTGCTCCAGAGGATATCACCTTTTAATTTTATTTATTCCCTATTTTTTAGACAAACATGTATAAGTCCCACATCAATAAGAGACTAACATTATTTTAATTGGATACATGTGGTCTCAAATGATTCTTTTTACAATAAAGCTATATCTGCAAAAAAACTTCTTGACCTTTTTACTGTTTTTAGAGCAATCTGTCATAGAATGTGATAACACGCAATTAAATACAAAAAACGAACCCAGGTTACTGCATTGTGAGTGCATCGTTTTAACCACTAGACCACCGATTCGCGTTGTAAAAACTACTCTGAAGAACGGACTCAAAGCAGCAAATTTTGCATCAGACGTAAACTTTTATCAGCTGTCTCAATTGTTCAAAGACGTCCCGATATAAATCCTCGTTTTAGTCTTTGTTTTGTCATTAATTATTTGAGAGTCATAACAAGACCTTTTTTAGTTCTGTGGCCACATGTTATTTTACCACTAAGATTAGTGAGCTGCGCGGAGTTCTGGCAACCCAATCACGGACTTGACACTTCCTGATTGGCGAAACGGCAGAGGGCAGGACATCAAAATCAAAACAATAACAACTTTTACGGGTCGTAAAACTAATTTTGATAATCAAATATCTCGGCTGAACTACTGTAATCAGTAGTATTCGAAAAGAGCATGATTTAATAACGCCTTTTGAAATATTGGGGCCATTTAATGATGACTTGACATGCAAATATTACAGACTGCTATTTTCAAGTTCAAAAGGGAGAGGCAAGTCATACTGAGGGTGGTATTTTTTTCTTTGACCAGCCTAGTTTAGCCGCTGTGGACTTCAAATACACTCGTTAAATGAATGGGGCTAGTTCCGGCTAACACATGCGCAAATGCCTTTCTTCTGCAGCAAGAGCCCAGAATAGCTGCGATACAAACTTTCTGTCAAATGAATGCATTTTTATGTTGATATTATTTACAAAGACAATATCATATAATAAATCCCAGGATCACAGAGAGCGTTAAACCACAGATTTTATTTAACCCTAAAACTGTGGGTGTAAGACAAACAGTTACTGAGCAAGAGGAGTTTACTTTTCAATGTGAGTCAATAGGAGCCAGAGCAAGTTGGAGCCAAAGCCTCTTCCATGAGCACTTCCCTGTTGGTCTTCATTGAGCTATAGGGTTAGCATTGTCCTCTAGTCTATCACACACACAAGCTCACACCCTGTTGTATGCTGCCACCCAGAGGACAGAGTGGGAGCTGCGTCTTCTCGTCTCTGCCTTTTCCCCATCTGTTCTTGATCAGAGCTTTGACCCTGAGATTTTTACATTAAACTGACACATCCTCCCATCCTCTCCCATTCTCTCCCCCTCTCCCCCCGACATCCGAAAACCCGCCGTCCTTCTACAAATATATTCAGGAATGGTACAAGAGTGTAAATATAAGGTTATGACCACTCTGCTGGGTGAGTAGGGGTCAACCGCAGTGAGGTAGAAAACATATTAAAGCAGGGATTTGCTATATAGGGGTTATATTTATAAGTTCATCTGATATTACCTTAGCCGACATGTGTGAGGAATAATATTGGAGAAAAAACAACAAACAACTCTATGATTATGTCAATTGGATTCTCTCTAAGTTTTTTTTAAACTTGAGTAATTTAAAACATTTTATAACCCTTTGGTGGCATTAAATCTACCCTGTATAGTAAAGGTCTTTTCCCCGTTTCCTACCCTACCTACCCTTTCTCTTCTGAATTCTTTATGTTGTCCTTGTCGACTTACTGTTTGTACTTACTAACTAACTTTTATTCATCTGATATTTCTGTCATTCACTCGTAACTTTACCTGCTGATATTACTATTACTATTACTATTGTTTTGGTCTGCTCATATTCTTTGCTGCTAAAGTACAATATACACATCTGTAAATACTTCTGAACAAAGTGCAATTATAGTTCCAGAGTTAATTTTATTCTATTTTACCATTGTATTATTTTAATTATATTGTCTATTACCTTAAAAAATAGACTCTCTTTGATGTGCGCAGTCTGAGTGCTCTTTCCGTCTTTCTCTTCTGTAATGTGTGCAACGATGACAATGACATTTCCCCACTGTGGGACAAATAAAGAAATATCTTACCTTATCTGTGGGTTTTATATGTTTCTTACCTGCCTTAGGACAATGGATGCAATTTAGCTATTATGCTAATTCCATAATAATTATGTTGACACTGTTTGCAGACACATTGATTAATATGTACTGTACTGACATCCTGTATCTTAGCAACCTACCCACAACAACCGTGGCTTCCAGCAGCACTCTGTCCAATCACGGTCAGTTAGAACACTTTAGTACCAGCTCGGCTTGGATAGAACCAGGACCAGGAGGGACTAAAGACGGACTTGGTACTGGTTGAACACAGCCAGTAACAAAAACAAATATTTGGGTAAAGTAGAGTAGAGTAGAATCGTCGTTGGAAACAGGGCTTTGGTGGAAATCTCCAAATACCTTCAGAGCTGGGATCTCCACAGAGTCGCTGATGGCCAGCGCCCCCTGCAGGATGGTGCCGGTCATGACGGTTCCCTGTCCACGGATGGAGAAGCAGTGATCCACGGCCATCAGCAGGTCTCCGCTCGCGTCTCTCTGAGGGAGGTACGTCTGCTGCTTCAAGAGCTGAGGCAGAGCACAAGCACCTTCAGGTTCACACTATCAGAGCAGCGACTTCTCTAGCTTTCCTTATACTGGCTTCTATATTATGCTAAAGTTAGAGGTTATACTTTCTTCTTTATTATGCTAAAGTTAGAGATTTCCTTTTACTTAGTATAGAGTAATTCATCTTGTGCTGTGTGCTCCTCATTCCTACTGTTCTGAAATTTCCCCACTGTGGAGCGAATAAAGGATCTCTTCATTTTAATCTTACTCTTCTAAAGAATCAAACATGTGACGTATACATGCAAAACACTTCTAACATTTGTAAGTAAGTATAGGGTTAGCGTAACCTATCACAAAGCACTTTTTCCACTTCAACTTTTGTGGAAAAAACAAGCAACATTTGATACTTTTATTGGCATTGTATGAAACACAAAGTCAAACTAGGAATCTGCTTTGTCTCAAGGTGCAGACAAGCTATAAAAGTAAAAATATGTTACAAAAAATCTCATAAAATCTGTATACAAGTGCACACTAAGTACACACAATGGACATCTTACAGTGCAGTAAAGTGACGGTACTATAAGTTAACGGCTGTAAAGAGCAGGGGTCAGTGATGATCTCAGCAGAAGAGCAGGGTTTGGCCTTTTTCATCCGCGATAAGAGACTATTTGATATTACTATTGTACTTCTGGGGTGTGTGAGCGCACCTGTTCACTTGCCACAGCAGTTACAATTTAAAAGAAAATAGACAAAAGTAGCACTAAATATCTCCGGGATTACGGTAACTGTGTTTGACAGGGAATACAATATGATTAACAGATTCGTAATAATAAGTCACACTGTGGAGCAGAGGTGTCACCTGGATTAACTCTGAGACGCCCTGTGGCTCCTCCGTGTCGGCAGCTTCAGGTCCTCCAGGCCTCGCCGCTACAGCGATCACCGGACAGTCTTTGAACCTAAGCACAAGGTTCAAGGTTATTACATTTATAGACAGTGGTCTTCCTGAGTCCTGTCAGTCCTGGATCTACAGCCTCAGTCCTGGATCTACAGCCTCAGTCCTGGATCTACAGCCTCAGTCCTGGATCTACAGCCTCAGTCCTCGAGCTACAGCATCAGTCCTGGATCTACAGCCTCAGTCCTGGATCTACAGCCTCAGTAGTCGAGCTACAGCCTCAGTCCTCGAGCTACAGCCTCAGTCCTCGAGCTACAGCCTCAGTCCTCGAGCTACAGCCTCAGTCCTCGAGCTACAGCATCAGTCCTGGATCTACAGCCTCAGTCCTGGATCTACAGCCTCAGTCCTCGAGCTACAGCCTCAGTCCTCGAGCTACAGCCTTAGTCCTCGAGCTACAGCCTCAGTCCTCGAGCTACAGCCTCAGTCCTCGAGCTACAGCCTCAGTCCTCGAGCTACAGCCTCAGTCCTGGATTTAAAGCCTCAGTCCTCGAGCTACAGCCTCAGTCCTCGAGCTACAGCCTCAGTCCTGGATCTACAGCCTCAGTCCTGGATCTACAGCCTCAGTCCTGGATCTACAGCCTCAGTCCTGGATCTACAGCCTCAGTCCTGGATCTACAGCCTCAGTCCTGGATCTACAGCCTCAGTCCTGGATCTACAGCCTCAGTCCTGGATCTACAGCCTGTCTGTTCGGATCTCTCTCTCAATGTTGTCTTCCCCAAGGTTTCCCACATTTTATCCCAGTGTGCTTTTGAGTGGTTCGATGCTGATGCAGGAGAGTCTAAGGACAGAGATGATCCAGAACCTTTCCACAGATTTATTTCTGGTCAGTGGTCATCCCGCTCCATATGGACCAATGACTCCGTTGTGTTTGATTCAGATAAAGATTCATTTAATTTGCCATTTGAACAGAAAACCACATTGGAATACATACATACAGTGCAGAAGTGTATGAATAAAACAAGCTAAAAAGTACAAAGGAAATTATCACTGTGAAATCAATAAAAAAAAATAAAAAACTGTTTAAATAACAAGTGCAAGATCATTGAAGTGCTTTGTTCAGACTGATAAGACTTATAAAATAATGGAATCCATACAACGACACATAAACTACAGTACGAAACACGTGTAATGACTCAAACAGCTTTTGTTAGCTATTGGTTGTTCGAGAGGACAAAGTAGCAGCGTAACTGGACCGCGTCCATTGTGATCTCCGCGCCCTCATGTGGTTTGTTGTGGGATTCATAACACAACATATCTCCTCAAAACTTCCCGAATGGAACGCGCCAAGTATAACATCAATTGTGCTTCACCGTAGGTCCACCGCAACCGTCTAACCGTAAGCCCGCCGTCCGCAAGTAATACACCTAGGCCTTTAGGAGACAGAGAGAAGACCAGAGTGGACCAGAAGAGAGGACCAAGAGAGACCCACTTCAATCAGTTGTTATCAGTCTGAGCAACAGCACTATAATGATCTCATGGTAATTGGTGTATTTTTTGATCTTAGTTTCACAGTTATGATTTTTTTCTTTACTTCCTTCTGTACTTCTTTTTTGAGCTTGTTTAATATTTATGTACTTGTCTGGTGCACACTGGGGATTCTTGCACATGTATTCCAACGGTGGTTTTACTGCTACCGGGCAAATAAACGAATCTGAATCTTGTGTATCCAATGGGGCTTTAGGTGATGGCCCCAAAGACAATAATGTTAGGGGGCAACACTGTAAGATAGAACCCTAATCCTAAATTTGAAGGCTTCCTAACATTTACAGCCCGTCCTCATTGCTCTCGGTAGCCTGACTATCTCAACTTGTCCTCCTTCTCGCAGTGGAGCAGGCGGCATCAGATTTATGCCTATGTTTATAATCAACACAAAATCTCATGGTTCAATAGAAATTTAAATATGGAGAAGCCCAAGCGTCTTTATAGCAGTGTCCTCTGGTGGTGCTTTGTTATTTCATTTCCTCTGTCTCGGAGCAGCCAGGCTGTCCAGCTCAGGGCCCCGTGGGGAGGAGGAATAGGGCTGATAATGGATTTTGAGCCAATTAAATGTGGTAATGACGACTGGTTACTTTTAATGCCTTTTTTTGAGCTGCTACAGTATTTCCCAACGTCAATGAGAGAAGGCCACAGATTAGGAGAAAACACATCTCCTGGGCTCCATTGGGTACCATATACATAAATGCATGGTTACAGGAGGTCTCCAGGTCAGTGGTTAGTGGTTTAGGGCGGATCAAGGTGACTTGGTATTTTCACATATATTCCCTGCCTGGACCTATAAGACTCTAAATCAATGTTTTTGACAATCAAAAACATTTAATTAACATTTATGGACATTGGTCCCCGGAGAGTTTCTTCCAGGTCCCCGTGGAGGAGGGGGACATCGATCCATCCGAGTGGACCATGTCCCATGTTTTTCCACTCTATACCCGATGCGGTGGCTCGTATCTGTGGTTAACCCCCCCCCCCGCAATGTCACTGTTGGCTGGTCCTCGGCGACAAAATCCAACCCGTGTGGGCACCGGTAGAAGGGATGCCCGTCCAGGCCTGAAGGAGTCCTATCGAGCCATAGAGGTTCTCTCTCTGGGACTCCTGAGGCAGCTGTCCATACCGCCCGGCCAAGGTGCCGCAGCCCGGCTGTTGCACACGCAAAAAAACCCAGGACTGGGAGGAATTCGAAGAGTCTAAGGAGCCATGACTATCGTCGGCCTCGAAAAGAATCGGCAAACCGTCTGGCGCTCAGGAGGGGAAGCCAACATTATTGTGTACGAGTGGTGGGTGCGGACCTTGACTCGCGATAATTTGGCGGGGGAAGGAAGACATCCACCTCCACAAAGTTTTCTATCTGCCTGATGTAGGACCAGTCCTTGCCAATGAGTGGCAAGAACCGGGTGTAGTCCCCCTCTCTACAAGAGGGGGACCGAGGGTGTGTTCCAATTATCGGGTATCACACTCCTAGCCTCCCGGGTGGAAGGTCTACTCCAAGGTACCTGGGTATAAAATCAACCCTCCAAAGACGAGTATGATTTGTGCTTTGGCTAAAGCGACTGATAAAAACAATAGATGGACAATGACATTGATTTGAGGGCCACAACAAACATCTCCTTCCTCAAGTGAGACAAAGCACATGGTGGTGCAACAATCAGCCGTGACTTGAAATTAAGCGATAAGTTGAGGACTTGTGAAAGGGGCAGAAGGAAATTTTTTGTATAGGACGGCTCTTAAAGTGAATAGATCGTTTTCAAATAATTGATTTTTACATCTAAAATCAATAATTTGTGGCCCTATATGCAATTCCTGGGTCTGAGTCCTCATTATTTTAGCTCCACGGCCTTTCTTCTACACTATGTTTTCTGAGGTGCGTCCTGAGAGCAACCTGTATAGGTGCTGTCTCTTTAAATGCAAATGAGCGCTTTTGACCACGCGCCCCCCCCATCAGGTGACAACAGGTACAACTCCACCCCTGGAGCGGGCCCATTTTGTAGTTACTAACACAGATACAATTATTCATAGAAACATCTCATTACCCTCGCAAACAGGAAGTTTTTAAAAAAAAGTCCCCTTCCTCATTGACTGAAAGCAAATATAAAGTTTTTCATTCGTACTCCAGTCTTATTTATCGACTCATTCTCTTTTTAGCTTTGGGAATTCCATGCGCACAGTCTATGATGCTCCACAGACGCCAGTTTAGCACATTACTACAGCAAGTTACAGAACAGCAGCCGCCTGGTGGGGCCTACTGTACGTCGCAGATAAGCCACACTACTTGACAGAAATGTTAACATTGAATATTACTAAATGCACAATTTTACGCACTTAATAAAAAAACGTTAGAACGGATTATTTCCTTCAATAGAAGGAAAGAGACCCATGCGCCTCCAGAGCCCGCAGGTTTGCCGAACCTAGTTTTATACAGTACTGTGGAAGCAAATACTGGTAGAGGATTCGGAATATGTGGCAGTTTCAACAATATCATAAAATGTAAAAAAAACAATAGGTCTTACATTACAAGAGTAGTAATACACATGTGTCAGAAGTGAGGGAGGTGGACACGGACAATACTATTGTTTTGTTACAGTGATGAAGACTTGGTCAAAAAAGACAGAAATGCATAATTGTCAGCCAATTTCTGGCTCTCAATCTGTTTAATCCTGTTCAACAACATATACTTTAGGGCTCAAACATGAACTTTTTAATGCAAGTGGCAAAATTAGTTCAGAGCATTATTTTAGGGCGTTTAAGCCGCTTCGAAGGAGAGGTAGACGCGGACTGTTTCCCCGCACAGTGTATTTATTGTGTTGCACAGATGTACACAAAGACAACGCATGTCCTGTGCGCGTTTAATGGTTTTGGGTAACATGCCACGTTGAGCTCCGCGCTCAGCCACAACCACAACACGGGGAGCGGCTGCGAGCGGCACCCTCATTACAAAGCGGCAGCAGTGTTCCGGGGCACTGCGGCCGCTTTGGTAATGAGAGCCGCTCGCAGCCGCTCCACCGTGTATGAGGTTGTGGGCTGACGCGCAGCCTCAACGTGCCAATTACCCAACACCATAACCGCGCACAGGCCCAAGCTGTCTTTTGAGTAATCTGTGCACCCAATAAATACACTGCTGCAGAAACTGTCACGCGTCTCCCTATCCTCTCGAGCGCGATTAACGCCTAAATAAAGCTCTTGATTCCTACATTTTGCATTGCCATTTAAAAAGTTCATGTTTTGAGCCCAAAAAGTAATATGATGTGAACAGAATTAAACAGATTTAGAGCCAGAAAATGGCCTGACAATATGCATTCAGTCTTTTTTGACCAATTCTCAACCCTGTAACAAACAATAGTATTGTCCCGAGTCCACCTCCCTCAATCCTGACACATTTTTTATTACTCTCTTGATACTGTAGACTAGTCATTTATAGTTTATTGTTAAACTGCACATAATCCAGATCCTCTACAGTATTTGCTTCACATCTGTATACACTATGAGTCGGCAACCTGCCTCTGGAGGCGCATGCGTCCTTTCTTCAATCGAAGGAAAAACGTTCTTAACGTTTTTAAATGCTGTAAAATTGGAGATTGTTCAAGACGTGACGCTGCACGACCTGGATGTGGCCAACGCCAGGCCCCAGGTACAGAGCGTCGTCTTTTCTTAAAGCTGGGGGACCCATTTTATTTCTATTGTTTGAGTGGATTGGTTGAGTGTGACCAACACGTAATGCCCATTTGAACATAAGATAGCTGGAGCCAATTCGGGCATTCTGCTCTCCCAAAATTCCATCCGATGGGCGGGGGAGCGACTGAATTTTGCGTTGCATTATGGGTAACACTTGCCTTCGCAACTTCCGGTTCTCTCTGCCCGGCGCATTTTCTCTAAATGGTTGAGTGTTTTCGTCATTTTACAATATGCAAATACATTCCCGTCTCCTAACTAGTGGCATATCGCGCAAATCATCCGTCCAATTCACATTCTTCCCTCTTAGCTGAACTTCATTCTCATTGTTACCATCTGTCACTCGCACACACAGCCGTTTTCGTTCACTCTGCTCGCTGTCATCTTCTTCTAAATCTTCATAAACACCATCCGCTCGTTGAACTAGCAACAACAATTCCTCCTTTCGTTTTCCCACACTGCAAATACCCTTTCGCTTCAACCTTTCACGCAATTCAGGCACTGTCAATCGTGAAATGTTTTTGTGAGCCATATTCGCCATTGTATGAAATCAACCGGAAGTGAACTGGGCAACAAACGGTGTCATTTTTTTATCACAGCGCCGCTCAGTGGATGAAATTTTGGGAGAGCAGAACGCCCGAATTTCCTTACATGGGCATGAGCATCTCACATTTTTAGGAAGACAGTTCAAGATTTTAGTTTCATAAATCGGAAACGCTGCCACCCCATGTTGAGGCCAGTCCCTGTGCTCCTCAGTCCTGCTTGGTTCATATGTCACTAACATGTCACATGCACTTTGGTGCGAGGCCTTGGAGAGGCTTGTAACAAACCGAAATGTGTTAAAGTCTATTCTCTGAGCCACAGGAAGCAGAGACCTGAGACAGGACTAATGAGATTGTACTTCCTAGTTCTAGTTAGGACTCGAGCTGCAGTGTTCATGTCATTTTTTACGCCAATATAAACTCTTTCAGGGAGGTCAGGACATTCTCTCGATGATGGGACAATTGATGAAGCCCAAAAAGACCGAGATTACAGGTAAATTGATGCTAAAGTATTTTCCACTAGTACAAATGGACTCCATCTTCAATATGACTTCCTCTGATCTCCAGATAAGCTGCGTGCGGAGATAAACAAGGTGGTGAACCGGTACATCGACCAGGGCGTGGCGGAGCTGGTGCCGGGCGTCCTGTTCGTGGACGAGGTCCACATGTTGGACATCGAGTGCTTCACGTACCTCCACAGAGCGCTGGAGAGCACCATCGCCCCCATCGTCGTGTTCGCCTCCAACCGCGGGAACTGCCTCATCAGGTGAACGCCGTAGTTTTGATTCAATGCTAATCCGCCAGCTCATTGAAGTCCTATAGGGAAGTGCTCATGGATGAAGTTTTGCTCTAACTCGCTCTTGTTCCTGTTGAATTACATTGAAAACTAAGAAGTAAACTTTTTTTGAGATTAAACAGCCCCCCCGACCCAGAAATGGATTATAGGTTGAAAATGGATTGATGGTTTAGCATTCTCTGTGATCCTGGTGTTGATGTTGTATTATTGCCTTTTGTAAATCTAGATATGAGCCCAAACAACTGACCAATCAGGAACCTTCTGTTGCAGGACTTAGCTTTAGCAGCGAGCAGCACGATGGGGACAGAACAAGTACAAACAACATTTGTGTAAATTTGGCTCGATGTTCTTGCTCGAAAAAGCCTGTCCGGGTTAGCTCTATCCGGTTTCTTGAAAAAAGTAGTGGATTATTCACTTTCTGTAATAAGGATTTTGCCCAGTGCCTTTTTTCTTTTTTTTTTTTATGAAACCACTATTAGTTTTTAGCACAGTTGCAAACTTGTCAATATTCCTAAAGCCATTTAAGAGATTTTAATCGATGTGATATTTATTTGATATAAAAACTGCAATTTACAGACTATAAGCCGCACTTGTGTGATCCCTGCAGTTTATATAACGCTGCGGCTAATGTGTGTTTTTATTATGATAGAGTTGGGCTGTTGTCGGAGCAGAGTTTATGAACTCAATCCAGTTTTAGTTGCTACAGGACACTTGTTTATTGTCAAATTAGATGAAGGTGAATGAGTCATAGATGCTCTGGTCCAGAAAGTTCTGTATATGAGGTGTGGGTCATTCCCATGAAAATGAAACGTGAATGTTGTTGTTGAATTACTCACCGAGTGTGTGTGTGTGTGTGTGTGTGTGTGTCTGTGATTGTGTGTGTGTTGCTCAGGGGCACAGAGGACATCAGCTCTCCTCACGGTATTCCCCTGGACCTTCTGGACCGCGTCATGATCATCCGCACCATGATGTACACGCCGCAGGAGTTGAAGCAGGTGCTCCGGCCTCTGTGGGATTATTCTAACAGGATTATTCTAACGTGTTACTAATAACGCTGCGTTTTCAGATTATCAAGATCCGAGCTCAGACTGAAAGCATCAACATCAGTGAAGAAGCTCTCTCACATCTGGCAGAGATCGGCTCAAAGACCACCCTCCGGTAAACCCAACCCTGACCCTCGTCCTCCTGTATCGCTCTAGACCATAGACCCCAAACTTTTAACCACAAACACGACTACATGGTAACATTTAAATTGCATTTGAGTTCCATTACATTTGGAGTAGCCTGGCCTTAGCCATCCGTACACTCCGCTCAATCAGCATTTCACTGCATGTAACGTCTGGGCCTGGTCCCCGTCTTAGCGATTACAATCAGCTGAATTTCGACCGATCAATCAGGGAGCGCGTTGTAGGTCGGTGCCGGTGACGTCAAGAGTTTGCGCCGAACGGGCAGGTTGTGGTTTTGCAGTGGCGAAGAATGCGATAGTAAAGTAATCCGGCCTGATTCTATCAAGGAATTGAAGCATGAGCAAGAGGAATGTTTAGCAAATGGAATCGCTGGTCAAGATTGTGGCGCTACTCCCCACGGGCTCAGTTAGCGGCAAAGGAGATGGCTAGGCTAAATGCTAAATGCTAACAACAGACTTGGGCGCATTACATACGTCACGGTGAACTCAGATCCAATCGTTTCAATCTGCAAAAAGAGTTAACACCTCCCACCTGTAAACGGAGTCAATGGAGCAAATCCAGACCTTAGTATGAAATGTCATTTGTACTAAGGTGTGGTACGAGCAGGCTATATTAGGAGTGGACTGACCAAGTATTGTTAGCCTTAATGTGGAAGAGGTTGATTTGAAGATTAGCTAGCTGGAGCCATATAGGTCTTTGTTCTGATGGGGTTAGCTTAAGCATAACAAGCAGACGTAGTAATGAGACGGCTGCGACGGCGAGCAAGAGTTTCCCTCCCGAATGACGGCATCTGATTGGTCAGTCTTTGTAAATCCAGGTATGAGCCATATAAAGACAATATCACAATATAGTGAACATATCAGGCCACAACATGGTATCTTCATCTCATCAGAAAACATGTTCTATTTTGTCTCAGAAAGAGCCCTGTGAGTCACTATTTGACTCTTGTATAAAAACTAGTGATTAAAGAAAAATGTTTTGAGAGTGAGGAACTAGTGACATGGCATTGTTTGTAGTTTAAAAACTCCCACCCCCCAGTTTGGGAACCACTGCTCTTGTTACAGCCTGATCTGCCGTGTGGGGCGGCACGGTGGCTGAGTGGATAGCACTCTCGCCTCTCAGCAAGAAGGTCCTGGGTTCGAATCCCGGTCGGACCAGGGCCTTTCTGAGTGGAGTTTGCATGTTCTCCCCGTGTCTGCGTAGGTTTCCTCCGGGTACTCCGGTTTCCCCTACCGCTAAAAATATGTACAATAGGTCTGGCATGTGCCTCCTGTACTGGCCCCTCCCATCTCTGTGTGGAGTGAGAGACTAATGCCCATAATTAACAATTGTAAACCGCTTTGAGACTCAGATCTGCAGTGAAAAGGCGGTATATAAATAAAAACTTACTTACTTACTTACTATCTCTCCCCTGCAGGTACGCGGTGCAGCTGCTGACCCCAGCCAGCCTTTTGGGACGCGTTCAGGGAAAAGAAAACGTAGAGCGAGAACAAATCGAAGAAATCAACGAACTTTTCTACGACGCAAAATCGTCGGCAAAAATCCTCCAGGATCAGCAGCACAAGTTCATGAAGTGAAATCTGTTCTTCTGTCTCATCGTTCTGAATGAGATTTCTTTGTTTTTGTTGTGAAATATACTTAATAAAAGTTTAAAAGTTCATGACTTATTAATTGGCTCAAGTCGAGGACAAAAAAACACTCAAACCTCCAGCGACAAAAGACTGAGATTCAAAGTTAAAATCCAAAATATTTATTAACCGTGTTACAATAAACAATTCTCTGTCTCTGAGCTCATCATCTTGTCTTAAGTCTAAATTAGGAGCTCTCTACGCCTCTTTTCCTTCTGAGTCCAAAACTCCACCATACATGCCTCTCTCTCGCTCAGGTCTGTCTCTTGCCTCACTCCTTATAAGGCGGTGGTACTCGACGGCAGCTTAAGCCAGATACAATTCCTCACATGCTTTCAAAGAAATGGGTTAATTTCACTAATACATTTTGAATCAAATACGGTTAAACTGGTCAGTATTTAAAGGATTGATATAAAACCACCTCCAAAAAACTTAAGACACACGGTTTGCATGAATTTGTTTTCATCAAATGCATAATCACGTCACAAACTTAAACAGTGATGTATAAAAGTCTTTATGAAACACAGCAGGAGCAGCTCTGTTCTTCTGATGTGGATCTACTTCTTCGGTCGTGGAGCTGAGCGTCCGGAGAGAACCGTCTCTGTTCCCGAACGAACCTGACTGAACACAGAGGGCGCCGTTTTACCCATTTTCTCTGAAACAAGATTTAAATGAATGTCAGTAACTTTTCAAATTGTAGTAATAATAATACATTGTTTTATACATTGCTCAAAGACGCTTTAAAACATTACTTCATACTCAAGTGATCAGTGATACTACTGTAGCCACAGCTGCCCTGGGACACACTGACAGAAATGAGGCAATCGGTATGTGCCATCAGCCCCTCCCACCATCAACCATTCACACACAACATCAGACTCATTCTAATGTGGGTGAAGTGTCTTGCCTAGGGACACAATGACAGTTTGGCACTTTACAGCCGCTGTGGCACCTAGAGTTCCCATAGGTCTCCCATCACAGAAATAACCTGGCGCTGCCCTGCTAAGCTTCAGAGGTCTGACAGGGTCTGTCTTTCACCTGCAGGTGGCGCCAAAATGTGGAAAAAGAATTTTCCAAAGTATCCTTGGTTTAATTCTTCTTCTACAAATCTGTCATTGGGAGTTCTGTGAAGTGAAGCGAACGTTTTAAACACATTTATTTCAAAATACTAATCGTACCGGTTTTTATTTCATTTAATTTTTAGAACAAATGCTTTGTAAGTTACTGACATGTTTTTTTTCATTGTAAAGTATTTTTTCATATTCTAACTTTGTTTACTGTATGTAGAAAAGATGAGGGATACAAACGTCTTTAGATTGTTTTTATTCTTATTCAAACTGTACATGTGTATCCATGTATGTTATATATGCCAACGTGAATTATTTCTTGACACCGTATTTCACCGTCAGATACAACAAGGATCAACTTACTCCAGGATTGTGTAGTTGGTTTAAACAGTAACACAATGATCTGTGTTTAAAGCCCACAGCTGTGACTCCCTCCTGGGTCTATATAAGGACTGGAAACTGGGCCACAAACAGCAACATGACGGCTCCTGGGACGTCCAGCATTCGGACACACACACACCCACACATACACACACAGGCATAGACGCACACTCATTAACACAGGCATAGACACACACACACATTTAGATATAGACACACACACAGAGATTTATATATATATATACACACATAGGCAAAGACGCACACTCATTAACACAGGCATAGACACACACACACACACACACATTTATATATATATACACACATAGGCATAGACGCACACTCATAAACACAGGTATAGACATACACACACTCATACATACACACACTCATACATACATATATACACACACGCACAAAGATACATGCATACATCAAACATACAGATACATACAAACACACACACACACACATTTACACACGTACACACACACAGGCATAGACACTCAACACACTCATACATACATACATACACACACGCGCGCACAAAGACATACATGTGTACATCAAACAGATACATACAAACCGCATACACACAATTTAATAAGGGCATGATAAATCAAAATATATGTCATAAAATCTTTCCAAAACTAGTTCATTCACTTTTTTGTATCAAGTAAAAGAACCTCCATTAGTTCCATTTCAACTCAGACCTAAAACTTTATAACGATTGCCTTATTATCTGTAGTGGAGGGGTGGTGGGTGAAACCGATTCATTTTGGACAACTCAAGAGTCTGACAACAAGGTGGAAATCTTCCTTGTCATTTTTACTATTTAAATAATATTATCATCATCAATAAATTTCAGACTCATTCAATTGGTCCATAGTTTAAAAGAATCGACAATGAACTGCAACACAGACAGTCAAGCAGAATTTATTTTCAAAAACCGTGACGTTGTTATGTTGTTGCCATTTTCTTACATGAAGAGAACCCCCAATGTCCCAGGCCTGGTTTTCACACTCCCTGGTACTAACTCTGGACTCACCACACTCCTCCATGACCTCAAACGTTTTGCTTTTGGCTGCTCCGGTCCGTCCCAGTCTGTTCCTTCCCTCTGTCATCTCCTCCTCTGTCCTCTCCGGGCGCTGGACTTGTTCATCTTCTTGCTTTGACAACGACAGACCACATCACGGCTCGACAACAGTACGAATATGTTTCTTAAAACTTACTTTGGACATGATGGAGACGTGCAGCCGCCTTCTTCACTCTGGCTAATGGAGGAAGTGTTGTTTTACTGTCCCACAGCAATAAAACTGTTAAACAAATGATGTAATCTCTGGAATGGCTCCTCCCACTGTCTTTCTCTGGGATTCTGCTAATCTAATGGGAATGTCCTGTCTCTGCATTAAAGCTGGAGTACACAACCTTTTAAAAAACTTTCAGAAATGTCATATTGATCCATGGAAACATAATTGTATTTTGTTTACATGTTTAAAAAATAAAAAACTTACCCTCACTTTTAACCCCTATTTACATAAATGGGAATCAGTACCTCATAATACATATTCAAAAACAGTCAACTATCCACGATACCATTTCAGTTTTTCATCCAGAAGTGGTTCAAATCTTAAATACCTCCAATATTGTAAGAGTTTAGAACAAAAACATAGCCACGTTTGCTGAAGATGAGCTTACACACTCTACACAAACACACAACAAACACTTTGGATATCTTCAGGTTTCCCTCCTCTTCTGTAAATATTTTTGTTAAACACACAATAGAAAATATGTTTTGTCCCAATTTAAATTAAACAATAAACCACATGAAAAAATTCCGGGCCTCCACATTATGCCAATATCACAATGTGGCCCGAAGAGAAAATAATTGCCCACTTGTGCCCGAGCATAAGGACCTAGAAGGCGGGGTGACTTCATTCACATAAGGAAAAAAAACTGTTAATAATAAAAGCAGACTAATAATCCTGATCAAACAAACACAAACATTCCCAAATTCCTTCGCGTCATGAAACACACTCCAAAAGTTTCCCCCCAAACCATTTTTTATAAACACCAAATCTGCTTAAACCGATGCTTAAGTCCTTTCTGCCATAACACTTATAAAAGCCCTGTGAGTCACTATTTGAAGATTTGGGTCGAGAGCTGATTGGCTGAATGAGGGTGGTCCTCTCTGTGTGTCACTTTTCTGTCTGAAAAATTTGATCTAAACATTTGACAGAAGCTAAAAGTACATGTGAAGACGACTGAAAGAAGCACAAAATTAGAATATTGTTCAAAAGTGTATGCACAGGCGCAGGTCGAGAAGCCTCTAGTCTAGTGGAAGTTATTTGAACCCTGCGGCCTCTAGATGCAGACAATGTGTTTGCTATTACTTTGTTAGTTATTTATCTGAATTCCTCCCTCTATCTGCTGTTGATCTTTGATGACTTTGCACATTCCTGTGTGTTTATGTGAACAGCAGAACAGAGTTTTTAGACTTTTAAGAAGTTTGAGTAGCATTAGGAAACACTGTTATTGTCAAACGCTGTTGGATAACTTACACTTAGACTTGGGCTTTATTTCAGTGTTTTCCAACCAGTTATTTGGTGGGCCATGGGAAATTTTCCAATATCACCTAGTTGGTTTTCTGTATGATACACTTTGATGAGAATGATGTGTTTTGTTCGATAAAAGGCTGCAGAGTTACATGTTTGTGTTGGTTTCAGCTGGTGGTGTGCCATGTGATTGTTTTAAATGAAAAAGCTGTGCCACGGCTCAAAAAGGTTGGGGAACACTGCTTTATTTAACGGTCACTTGCCTTGTGTTGTGTTTGTGGGCTCCTCATTCCTACTGTTCTGTTCCCTGCGATACAACACTGACATTTCCCCACCGTGGAAAAAAAGAATCTCTTCTTCTCACATTTATTAAGTAGTAGAATTTGTCTTAATCTCAAATCTCTGCGGATCTTCTATTCCTCACAGACATATTTATGCACCAAGTCTCTGTAGACCAGGTCAGGTTCCACATGAAACTGGTTTTGAATAGATCGCTTAAAAAAAACATTATTTATGATTCAGTTTTTAATAATAGAACTTTGTCACTGCTGCAGCACTCGTCTTCATCAGCAACATGATACAAGATTATTTCTAGACCAGAGAATGACTCCACCGCGATCAGACAGAGTTACAAAGAAAAACACTGAGGCTGTTTCTTATAAATAAACATTTTACCGATCAAAATAAGTCGTACAAACATTATGGCTTGGTATAAACATGTGTTGAATTAAAAAACATTTATACAGGTCCTAAGTCCTCCCCGTAACATGCCCTCAGGACTATAAACCGGGACGAGGGGGCTGCTTGACTGTCACACACCTGAGATTCTGTCCTGAAGAAGTCGGACTGCAGATGGCGCTAGTGTGACCAGCTGCGTACATAGCGTCAGTGCTATTATGGCTCTGTCGTCCTCTTCAGTGGATGTTTTGGTCCGCAGTTGGATTCCCGGGTTGTCAGTGGCGTTTCTTGGTGTATCTCGGCAGCAGCTGCGTCTGGACGAACTGAACGAGTCGCGTCTCCGTGATGTAAACGGTGAGAAGCACGAAGCAGAGACACACGACTCCGACCGCGACGTGCAGAAGGCGGAAGAGCCAGCCGCGCTTGCAGCAGAACGCAAACTGCAGGAGACAAAACACGCCCATGTCACTTGTTTTTTAGGTTTTATTTTATTCAACTACTTTGGGGAATTACAATTACTTTTTACTAGGGCTGTCAAACGATTATTTTTTTTAATCGAGTTAATTACAGCTTAAAAATTAATTAATCGTAATTAATCACATTTCAAACTATTGGCAAAATTATGCCATATTTTTCTGTAAATTGTTGTTTGAATGGAAAGATAAATGACAGCTTAGTGAACATATGTACTGTATTTGTTTGTTATAACAATAAATCCATATAAAATGGCATTAACATTATTAACAATCTGTCTTTCTGTTTAGACTCAGACCAAAACCATTGTTTGTTACAGATGAGGGACATTTCAAAATAGTCTGAAATGCAGAATGTCATTAAATCTGTTTGATTTGCTCATACCATTACTTTTTTTGGCACAACTAACATGAACTGATGGTCGAAAGGAAAATTAGGTACCTCAGCTTTAATTTAGCGAGTGCGCTTCGGGAGAAGACACGGAGGAGACTGAGGCTCCGCAGTCCAGCTTCTGCGCTGTACATATTGTGTGCATCGGTTACGCAAAGACACGTACGCACACGAGAGAATAGTTCTGTAATGGTTCTGTGCGTGGTCTTGGATATGATCCCATTACGCAGCGCCGTTTGCCGTGATCACAGCCGCTGGAAGTGGTGCTGCTGTCCAGAGCGCTGTGGCGTCCGCAGCTCATCATGCAGAGTTCATACAGGAAACAACAAGTGCCCCGCGGTCACGCGTGTATTCTTTCAAAACTTTAATTCCCAGAGGGTCTACTTGCTCTGTCCCCATCTTACACACGCGCATGTGTCCGCGGCATTCTGAGTGTTTATGGGACGCATGGGCATGCGTCAAATGCGTTAATTTTTTTAACGCGATTAATGAAAAAAATTAATTAACGTGCGTTAACGCGATAATTTTGACAGCCCTACTTTTTACTCTTTCTGTTTGGGGAAAAAGGGCAACAAGAATACAAAAGAGCGGCAGAGATTGCAGGTTCCGGGGGTCAAATTCGGAATAGGCTGCTATAGGCTGCTACTTTCAGAGTTATGCAGCTAAAATCTGGAACAGTCTTCCTGAAAATGTGAGACAGGCTTCTACACTGACAATGTCCAGGTTTTAAAACAGCTGTGTATACAACCGAAGGATTGAATCTTTACTCTATTTAATGCACTGTGAATATTTATGATTTTCATGCCTTTCTATCTTGTTTTGTTCAGCGCTTTGAGTTCCCTTGTGTGTTTATGTGAACAGCAGAGACACAATGAAGCGCAGAGAAATACACAGGACTTGTTTTTATGTGATTAGGGCTGTTATAGTAACCAATAAGGAGAAAATGGATATCAATACAGCTCTTAGTCTGAGGATTAGTCAAACACAAGTGGTGAGGATGTGTTTGAGCCATAGAGCGTATATTAGGAGTGGGCTGACCGAGTGTGACATCACCACAGCATTAGCCTTAATGCAGTTAGAAGCCGATTTGAACATAAGCTAGCTGGAGCCAATTTCCTTATATGGGCATTTCTTCCCACGGTGTCAGCCTCACTCCGTAATAGAGGCAGACATGTTGCTAGGACAAGCTGGTGTTCATTTTTTTGAGAAATGTGTTGTGAAATAGACACAAGGGGACAACCTGTAACTGAAGAGATCGTGGACTACGCTAATCAATAACAGACATACACAGAAGAAAATTATGAAAGAAAAATGTAAGGAGACATTAGTGGGAAGCCAAGTTGCTGTATAGAAATTGTCCTGGAGCTTGTGTAGTATGGCTTATTTCTGGATTTAGACAACAATATCACGATAGAAATTTGGTTTTGTTTGTATGATTATATATAAAGTATGCACACATTTAAAGAGACAGGCCATAGAGACCGCTCACCTCTGACAGAGCGGTGACCAGGGCGCTGACCAGCAGAGCCAGGAGCAGCAGTGGGGAGGGCAGCAGGCCACGCAGAGGTCTCCACGGGCTGCTGCTGAAGTAGTGACGGATGAAGACGACGCTGTGGAGGATTCTCAGGCCCATGTTCAGACAGTTGGCCAGGATGAAGCCCACCCCTCCGGCCCACCAGGTCAGAGCATAGGACAGCAGCAGGAAGGAGACTGACAGGCCCAGCATCACCAGGTTATAACTGCAGAGAGAGAGAGAGAGAGGAGAGAGAGAGAGAGCAGAGAGCAGAGAGGAGAGAGGAGAGAGGAGAGGAGAGGAGAGGAGAGGGGAGAGGAGAGAGGAGATGTGAGAGAAAAGGGGGGAGGAGAGGAGAGAGATGAGGGAGGAAAGGAGAGGGGAGAGGTGAGGAGAGGAGAGGCAGTTCTCACATTCAGGTTCAAAGACACTCGTCGGGTCTACACCAAGGATCTAATATCTGGATAGGGTATTACTAGCTCAAAGCTGTCCCACCCACAGGCACAGGGGGCGCTTGCGATACTGCAGACTAAATTCATGTGGGCTACCCAGAAAAATTTTCCATAGAACTCAACGTAAACTAAAACAGCTCTACCTCAGCTGACAGAGAACCTGACAGAGAACCTACAGCTTTCACCCTTTGCGCTACTGAGCACGAGCCATTCATTTGAATAGGCTTTCCGGGCGCTGGACTTGTTCATCTCCCGGTGAACTTGGATCACCAGGGCTTGGTCTACACTCTGACTACATTCTGATGGCTATTGGTGCAGCAACATCCACTTTATCTATATAAAACATTTAGATAAAAGGTGATACATAATGCGTTCTCACTTGTCGACCTGTCGCTGGCTCATGGCGGCAAACACAAAACACTCAGTCACACCGTTCACCGCGAGGAGCAGAACGTAACCGCTGTAGCACCTCAGCAGAGAGGGACCTGAGGAGGAGAGGAGGAGACGAGGAGACATGAGGAGGAGAGAGGAGGAGACATAGAGAGTAGAGTAGAGTAGAGTAGAGTAGAGTAGTGGAAAGGACTTATCTCTCTGTAAGTTCTAGACAGATGATTCTTCAGTTAAACTTCTCAGACCTGTTCCGCTGCTGAGCAGAGCTCCTCCGTACATGTCCAGAGCCAGATGAGAGAAGGAGTAACCGAACGCAGAGATGATGAGACCGATCACCAGCACCAGCTTCAGCAGACACTCCAGCACGTCTGCAGCCAGAGCCATCTCCTCCTGCAGCAACACACACTCACAAATTCAACAAACACAACAAACTCAACAATCATCCATAACTGTATTTCACACACACAGGAAGAGGCCAGATTATAACAGGACCAGCAAAAACAGTGTAAGTGTCTGCTCTGCTCTGCTCTGCTCTGCTCTGCTCTGACAGTAGTCTGTAAGCAACAGACTACTGTCTGTTGCTTACGTAGCCCCCCAGAGTCTACAGCATCACACGCCGGTGTGATGCTGTAGACTCTGGGGGGCTACAGCATCACACGCCGGTGTCCAAACCGGCCCAGAAAGGGCTGCAGTGGCTGCAGGTTTTCTATCAGACTCAGGAGGAGCAGAGCAGACTCCGAGTTCAGTAAATCAGGAGACAATACTCAATGTTGTAACTTAACATGTGCTACCCTGGAATGTTATTAATTCATATGCTATAAAAACATGTCCACAAACACAAATAACACACTGGATATCTTTATCTTTGGTAAATAAGTATTAAGCCAAAACGGGCTTGGCCCAATACAATAGGGCAATATCCCAAAGTGTCCCCCTGAAGATAATAATTGCCCACCCCTGCTCCTGGTCCTGGTTCTGTCCAGGCTGAGCTGGTACTAAAATAATATTACAACTGGCTACTCTATCTGATTGTGTTTCCATTACGCTCACATATGGAGCAGAGTAGAGTAGGGCTGGTGGAAACGGGACAGCATAGACAGCAACAAACCACTGCTTTGGGAAAAATAGTGAGTGTGACACAAACGGTTACTGGGCTGGAGGAGTTTGATTTTCAATGTAAATAGAGAAGCCAGAGCGAGTTGGAGCAAAGCTTTGTCTATGAGCACTTCCCTATTGGGCTTCTCTGTGCTAGCGGGTTGGCATTGCCCATCGATCTACAGTCTATGGGTGCTGTCATTCTCTTTAGTAAACATAATTTAGAAAAAAATAAAACTCAAAACAGATAGTCTTGTATTATGCAGCACTGTGTTTATGAAATGTGCTATAAAAATAAAGTGGATTGGATTGAAATAAGAAAATCTGTTGTTGTCCCACACTAGGAATTAAAGGAAAAAGATAAACGTTGAAATGTGGGAACATATAGCAGCTACAGCAAACAGACAGTACACCTCAGAGACCCATGCTTCTCCTGGACCCGGACCTGCTTCTGGCTCCTCACGTCTCGCCCTCGCTCCATCACTTTGGCGAAGAAGACGTAGAAGCTCTCCTCGATGGGCAGGAAGAGGAAGCGCGCCGCCATGGAGCCCAGGTTGTTGACGATGTCGTACACGCCCTGGTCCCCGAAGCTCAACACGTTCAGGAAGGTCATGACGTAACGCTCGCCCTCCGTCAGGATCTGCTTCAGGAACGACTGCTTAAAGAAGCTCCAGGTGAGACGGGCCAGGGACCAATCCAACAGCGGCTGCAGGGAATAAACAAGGAAGAAGAAGAGTGAAGTTTAAGAAAAAGAGGACATTACAGTGTCTTTTTATCATTTTATTTCTTGTGCTGAACTGTTCTGATCTGTGTTGGTGAATTCAACGGCTCAGTAACGTCCTTCGAGATAACTACGGTTGTGATTTAAGGGCTATACAAGAATACATTTAATTGAATGGAATTGAATTGTACCTCTAGAAACTAATAATACACCTTGAACTTTTGCTGCACATTGTGTACCGTTTAAAAGCATAAATATAAAGATTTTATGTAGAATTCTTTACTGAAGGTTCACAGACATGTAACAGACAACTGTGAAGTGAAAGCAAAATGATATGTTTCAAATAATGTAAAACCAAAAAGTTGGGCATGTGTTCATACAGCACAGTTAATACTTTGTGGAACCCCCTTTTGCTGCATTAATAGCAGAAAGTCAGTCAAAAATTCTAAATAAAATATTGATGTTCATGGTTGTAATCCCGTCAAAATGTGTAAAAGTTCACGGTGAATGAGTACTTTCGGGAGGCACTGCATGCTAGAGAAAACTATATGCTTTATTTTTGTCCATTCAAATATAGATTGAATTCAAGGCTGTGGCTACAAGAGTGAATTTTGTTTGGAGTGAGAAAATAATGACATGTGAAGCGTCTTTAGGTGTCCAGAAAGCGCTCTACGAAACCAATGCCTGCTATAATTGCATGCTTTTGGATGTGAAATAATATCTTAAGTAGGAAGCAGATGGTGAAACAGGTAGGAAGGGTAAAACATGTGCTGTGCATGTTATTCCCTATGCTGCCACCAGAGGGAGGCCTTTTGTTTTGTTTGAAATACGAAAACATAGCCATGTGGTTGTACAAAAAACTAAAAGCTGTTTTCTGCCTTTAAAACAAAAGCATTGGCTCTAAATGAGTTTTGGTAATTTCTCAAGTGAAGCAACGTTCTTTACAATCACATGACTGTGTTTGCAGGCGGTGATTTTAAAATGAAGATAAATGAGAAATTAAAAGCCACATTATTAATTTTCTTATGTAAAAATCTTGTCTTGTTTTTGTGGACTGTTGTGGATCGTGTTGTTTTGTCATCATGTTTGCTTTAGCGCTTTACCTCTCCATAGGTTTTTCTTGGAAGCAGCTCTCTGACATTTCTCAGGGGAAAACTCTTCTCTGACGCCTCTTTGGAGCCCAAGAATCGGACGAAGTAAGCGACGTAACAGAAAACCAGAAATCCTGTATAAACACACTGGAAGAATATAAAACAACTATTATTTCACACTTTCTCTGCAGTATAACGACACAAAACTGATGCCAAAGCTTACATGAGCGGCTGCAAATATGCACAACCCCCATTCACGAGCAAACACCACCATCGCCACGGTGACGCTGCATTTGGCGATCATAGCCAGGCTCTCGGAGATCACTTTGAGCCGCACGAACATGTGAGCCTGAGCCAGGACCCAGAGCGGCTCGGCCAGCAGCTCCACCACTCCCCCCAGGGCGAACAGCACCACGGCCGGGCTGTAGAAGGGCACGGAGACAGGGTCCGGGACTTCCAATAGCCAGAGCCACACGCAGACCAGCAGGACGCCCCAGAGAGCTCCTAGTGGTAACCTGAAGGGAGAAAGAATACAGAAAGACATTAGGAGAGCGACTGACAGATATGACCCTGCCGAACTCAACTAGACTCTACTCAGCTGTACTGATTTTAACCTGGATTTGAACATCAGTGTCAAAGTGGAAGTTTGTCTTGATTACTTGTAAATGTCTCTATTGTGAGATCAATAAAGTTGATCTTATCTTATCCCAACCTGAAACTGCCTCCATGTTTTTTTATTTATTTAACGATTATTTAACCAGGAAAGTCCCATTGAGATTAAGAACCTCTTTTTCAAGGGAGTCCTGGACAAAAGTTAAAGGCTACATATAAATACAGATTATAAAAACAGTTAGATACAATTTAATTTAATACAATCATGGAAAGCATTCAATGAAATAAGTTCAGATAATTTCCAGTCTTTTTGCAACATGTTTATGAAGGAGCAGCAACTATGAAAGCTTTTTTCCCAGTTTAGTCTTGACTCAGAGTCCCAGCAGGAGGCCAGTCCCTGTGCTCCTCAGATTCCCAGCAGGAGGCCAGTCCCTGTGCTCCTCAGAGTCCCAGTAGGAGGCCAGTCCCTGTGCTCCTCAGATTCCCAGCAGGAGGCCAGTCCCTGTGCTCCTCATGAGTCCCAGCAGGAGGCCAGTCCCTGTGCTCCTCTGAGTCCCAGTTGGTTCATATGGAACTAACATGGGTCACAGATGTGGTTTGGTTCGAGGCCATGGAGGTATGGAATTGTAGCTAAAACAAGTCCCTCCATTTTAGTTTAAAGCTCTAATTATAAGATCACGAAATAATTTTGAAAATGGTAAATCCTGATAAGGTAGATTTACACAGAGTTTAAAGCAATTGTTTATGACCTCGCAATCAACGGCTGAGGAAATTTGGAAACATTGTATGCTTCTAAATAGTAAAATAACAGAAACATGACACACCGTCCTGGTTGTTCTGGTTTTACTGGTCGACCTTGTCCAAGATCTCAATTTGGAATTACTGTCCTCGCTGAACTATAAGCAACCGCTTTTTAAATCATTTCTTTGAACTGGCTTTTACAGCAGTGCGGCAAATGTATGTACTTTTATTTTGTTAACAAACTATTTGAAGACGGTTGTTGATCTCCAGAGCTGAAGATGGAGCATACATCCTCCTGGTGCATAGAGTCAGGACAGCGTTTCATTTTATTTATTTATACAGCTAACAGTCTTCCTGAAAATGTGAGACGGACTTCTTCTCTTGACAATGTTCAAATTCAGGTTCATAAAAGTTCAGTTTCGCTGCATACACAACAGGATAATATCAACAGGATTGTGTCTTCACTGTTTTGAATATACTGTGATTTGAATGTTTATGTTTTAATGCCTTATGTGATACTTTGTAGAGCTTTGTGTAGCAATAAAACTACACTCAAAGACGCTTTACATGTCATCATTCATTCACTCCATACACTGTGGTGATAAACTTCTACTGTAGCCACAGCTGCCCTGGGGCACACTGACAGATGTGAACAGCAGAGAGAGACGAGAAAGAGCAGGGTATTACACAGGACTTGTTTTTGTGTTATTATGAATAGATTTGTTTGACTCCATTAAGTAGTAATAGTTATCGGACGCACGTTTATAACTAATGTTGTGATTTCGGGCTGTACAAAAACAAATTGAATTGAATTGAATAATGTCAAAATAGACTGGATTTAAGTGCTTGGATCATTAAACATCTCCTTATGGAATCCTGTTGTGTCCAGTCAAATCGGCTTTGTTTTGCTCCGTCAGAATACCTTGTGTGATTTTAACGTTATCTTGTTTTGTTAAGCACTTTGAGTTGCCCTTGTGTATGAACTGTGTTATACAAATAAACTTGCCTCTTGTGCCTTTATATCAGAGGTGGTCTTACGTGAGCCATAGCAGGTTGACGACTTGTCTCCAGCTGTGGTTGACCCCAGACCCTCCGCTCAGACAGGCTCTTCTAAAGGCCTCTCTGGACAAGAACACGAGCGTAGTGTAGAGCAGCGTGAGCCTGTGGGAAAGACACACATCAGGTTTTCGTTGTTGTAGCCTTTATTTTAAATCTAGAATTATCCATTGTACAATTTGCTTTGATGGTTGCACCGTTTGCTTGTTGGTTCTGTGACTGTGTGGTTTGGCTCTAAACAAGGTGCTCTGATCTGAAAGAGGACTGTGAACTGTCAATTAAATTCAGCTCTTCAAAAAAAATCAATGACTCTTCTGGCCCCTGGAAAAGCCATGTTCCAGCTTCTTCCCTCTGGCAGAAGATATCGTTCACTGAGATGCAGGATATCTTAAATCCACGAGCTCTCATCAGTCTGAACAAAGTACTTTAATGATCCTGCCTTTATTTTGAAACGTTTTTTGTTGATTGGTTTCACAGTGACAATTGTTTCCTGTACTTTTTAGCTTGTTTTATTGATGTTCTTGTCTGGTGCACACTGGGGAACTCTAATACATATATTCAAATGTGGTTTTACTGCAAATGGAAAATAAACGGACCGTTTCCTACCGCTTTCTAAATGTTCTTTTCGTTGTTTCTTGTATGGTATTACTAATGACTCAATTTAAATTACAGTCGGAACTTACATCAACATCAATTATTTCTCTTAATTATAATAGCCCCCCCCCCCACCCCCATTACCATAAACAGTCCTATTTCAAAGACACACCAGTGATGTTCTCGGATCTTGTTGTCATTACTATTTCTACTTCAATGTGTTGTTTTTTCAGGTCTCCAATCTATAGCTTCGGAACTACCAGTATCTCATCATCCTCTTACAGGTAGGTCTCCAAAGGATTTAGAATTTAACACATGATCCTAAATTACAACATTTTGAGTCATTACATATCTATTTATTTATATTTTAAGTTTCAATGTTGAGTTAAACAGTATTATGGTATATTATACAGGCGTGTTCTCCATGTTTTCCGGAAGTTATAATATAGACTGTGACTGTAAAACAGTTTAGTCTCTCTTCTGTTGTGTAAAATTAGCTCTCTGATTGAAAAAGGTTCGAGTCCCCTGTCCTACAAAGTGCAGTGCATTAAAAACAGTGGGTAAGATTTAAACATATTAAACGATGACATTACCAGTGAAAAACAGCTGCCCTCGTACCTGACATTGACGACTCCGATCAACTCTTTGGACACGAACCGTAACGTAAACGCGTTGAGCAGAAACGTCAGAACCCGAAACGTCACCTACAGTCACACAGGGAGAGAGAGCGACCCTGAGAAACTAATCTATCCACAATACATGACATTACATTATACTACAGAGTATTTACCTGCAGCAAGACGTTATAGGAGGCCAAAGTGGACGCGTCTTTCAACACATCTTCTGTGCTCATGATGAATCACGACTGTTTGTTTGTTTGTTCCGAGCTAACGGGCTATAAAACCGGTTCTAATGTCATTGTAACATCAGCCCGTAGCAGCGGAGACAGAGGTCCATGTCAGTCCAGCAGTTAAAGGCACATAAAGCCGTTAAAACACCTGCAGAGAGCTGGGTCTGAGGTGTTGGTGATGATGGAATGGATGCGGCGCAGTTACTTCCGTACACAGTGGTGGGTGGTGACGTGGAGCCCATACGTGATGACGTACGAAATTGTGCGTGCGTGTGTTAAATATAACTAAATATAAATATGATAATGATAATAATACACATAATGATAATAGCAATAATAATGTTAACACATAACACAAAGTGGTGAAAAACTACCACTAGACACAGTTTATCTGGGCATACTGCGTCTTCCATCGCAGTATTAATCAGGCCGTGCCCTGCTTAGCTTTCACGTACAGGTGGCACCACATGTTTGGCAGGATTGATTTCACATTCTTGTTGTTTGTCCTAAACTCAAACTTACAAATACTAATGTTTGATTACACGATGCACCCGCAAGAGGGCGCACCTTTCGGTATTAAGCGAATGTGAGTGAGCGCGTGCGTGTGTAATAAATGTAAATAGTTAATTGATACAATCGAATTAAATGCGACACTGACTGGAGTTACTTTAATTGTACTATTAACAACTGGTTCTGCCGCCGCTCTAGTCACCCTAACCCACTGTGAGGCTGTGAGGCAGGGGAGACTGGATTTGCTCAATACCTCCCACAATTTATGACCTCTAATTAGTGGAGACAAGTGTTTCTTAGTGTGGAGGTATTCTTTCTTTTGACCGGGTCTTTAATGGTAAATACAGAATCTTACACACTGGTTACACACCACGGTGGCTTAGATACAGGACCACATATATATTAGTTCCAAGTTACTCCCAACACTGACTTTTTTTTTTCTCATCAAAGACAGCTCTACTACTGTGTACTGAGTGCTTCTGTTCCCAGTGCTCTGAAGTTATGGCAACAGACATTTCCCGATGTGGGATGTGAGCCTATAACCAGTGATGATCCAGTACATTTTTTTTAACATGTAGCAACAGTGGTTATCCTGCTCCCTATGGACCGATGGCTCCTGTGTGTTTGATATTACATTTCCTGTGTTCGAACCACCTCTGATCTGTTGTTGAGGAATCCACAAATTGGAGACAACTGCCGTTGTGACAGATACACAAATACATTGTATTAAATTGAAAACATATGGAATCATTAAGCACGTTTTGAATATTATTTCCTCCCAAAAGAAGTTAACACAAACTTGTTGGGTGTGAATGGTTATTTAATCAGATGTTAAAGACAGACAGTAAAAAAGTACATCCTTATCTTACCAATATACATGATACAAGTAAAAACATATACAATGCCTATATACAGACGTAATTTAAACACTATTAAAACAATTGTACCTATGCTTTATTCACCAGTACGTTTTTGTACCTATGCTTTATTCACCAGTACGTTTTTGTACCTATGCTTTATTCACCAATACGTTTTCCGGTTGAGAACCTAAGCTGTTACGTTTGTTTCTTTACATTTGGCACTGTGAAGCTGACGAAACCACATCTTCTGCATTTGACCAAGCCCAGAGTTTCCTCTTGCACACACACACACTTTGAACATCTTTTGAGAAAGATAAAAACTACTTGATTTAAGTATTTGAACATGCAGCCAACGACTAAAGCGACAGAATAAGACTGGACTGAGATTGAAGTCGATTTAAAAGTATGTTTGTGTGCTCAATATGAGGTAGCCTGACCAGCCCTGTACATTACTACAGTTTTCATCAAAATATTATTTAGTGAAGAAGGTTGAATGATTGGACTGGCTTTATACTTGCACTGTAAAGCATGGCAAGTTCTCCTGCAACGACACATCAGCAGGTAAAACAAACCTGTGTCGCGACGGTCTACACTGCTGCTCACGTTCCCCGTTAGTGGGTGAACAATTCCACGCTAGTGAATTCTGCTTCACGACGACAGGAAGAGCCAGGAACGCCACAAACCATGTAGCAACTGTTCTGAGACCTCCTGCTTAAAACCCAAAGGTCAGAAGGATCGTGAGGCTCCACCTTCACGGTCTGTATTCATACAGACTCTCGCCATCAGAGAGAAGTCAGTAGGGATGAGGTTTCATTATTTTAGGCCCAATTAAAGCTCTAATGTAGACGAGGAAGAGTGAAAAACTATTATACATGTTTTTTTAAAGCATATGCATAAATCTAAAGCTAAATGAAGCCTGATCCCAACAACCCTACTCTCTGCTAGGCTACTCTACTCTACGCTAGTCTACTCTACGCTAGACTGCTCTACGCTAGGCTGCTCTACGCTAGACTGCTCTACGCTAGGCTGCTCTACGCTAGGCTGCTCTACGCTAGGCTGCTCTACGCTAGGCTGCTCTACGCTAGTCTACTCTACGCTAGTCTACTCTACGCTAGTCTACTCTACGCTAGACTGCTCTACGCTAGGCTGCTCTACGCTAGGCTGCTCTACGCTAGGCTGCTCTACGCTAGGCTGCTCTGCGCTAGGCTGCTCTGCGCTAGGCTGCTCTGCGCTAGGCTACCCTACGCTAGGCTACCCTACTCTAGGCTACCCTACTCTAGGCTACCCTACGCTAGGCTACCCTACGCTAGGCTACCCTACGCTAGGCTACCTTACGCTAGGCTACCCTACGCTAGACTACCTTACGCTAGTCTACTCTACGCTAGTCTACTCTACGCTAGTCTACTCTACGCTAGTCTACTCTACGCTAGTCTACTCTACGCTAGTCTACTCTACGCTAGTCTACTCTACGCTAGTCTACTTTACTCTAGTCTACTCAAGCCCCGGCGATCCAAGATGGCGCCCTATTCAAATGAATGGTTGTGCTCAGTGGCGCTGTGTGCCGGCATGGGAGCTGAAAGATTAGCGGAAGTCGCCTGGAACTCGAAAAGATCTATGGGAAACTCGCCCGTATTTGGGCATCGTCTGGTCCTCCCGGTTCTGTGCAGTGGATGAACTCCCATGATGCGTTGCGCTATCTCCCATGATGTGTTGCGCCAAACACGCGTGTGTGGGTCTCACACCGGGTCTCACGCACGTGCACAGAGGGGCTCGGCCGCGCTCTGACCAATCAGAGCAGTTCATCAGAGCACGAGTTAGAGCGGGAGCCAGTTTGTGGCACTAAAGTGTGGATTTAAAGAAAACCGAAGAATTTAAGAAGAACAAAAGTTCAGGATGACAAGGGACACTAAAATCCCCACAAAACCCTACCCTAAACTTATTAGGTTCTCTGTCAGCTGAGGTCGCGCTGTTTTATTTTACATTTAGTTCTATGGGGTAAATTTCTGGGTAGCCCACGTGAATTTAGTCTGGTTTAGTCTGCAGTACCGCGAGAATCCCCCGAGCACATGGGTTCTTCAGCTCCAAGCTAGTAATACCCTATTCAGTTATTATAATAGATCCATGAGTCTACTCTACGCTAGTCTACTTTAGTCTACCCTAAGCTAGTCTACCCTAAGCTAGTCTACCCAACCTTAGTCTACTCTATACTTATGTAGATTTTTATTTAATCATTCCTTCTTGATTTTATTCTGCTTTAACTTGTTTGCACCGAGAGCCAAAGCAATTTCCTAGTTTGTGACTTCTTGTTACTCACATGGCAATAAAAGGATTCTGATTCTACTCCACACTACCCTACGCTAGTCTACTCAAGCTTAGAGTGAAGTCGACTAGCGTAGTCTACTACTGGTTAAAACGGGGCCTGTGGAAACGCTCCCGATTGGGGTAGAGCAGAATAGAGTAGAACAGGGCTGGTGGAATCAGGGTCTTGATTCTCTTGATCTCTCAGTCAGCTGTTCCTCGCTGGCCAGGCAACTCACGGAACCAAGACTGTAGACTAAATTATTTCACATTCAGGACCGATAATGCATGCACACAACCATGAAATGCCAAACTCTACAACACAAAGGGCCTGCTCTAGGTTACAACACCCAAAAAAGTACTGATTTTGACCCACGCTTTTGGCTGTTGCAAATATGAAGATGAGTTTGTGTCACTCGATGAGCTCCTCCATTTTGGGGTTGATGAAGGAGAACCCAGCGAAGGCCGACTGGTCCATGGAGTCGATGAAGTTCTTGTCGCTGTACGAGAGGCGGGGCTTCTCGCTAAGGAACTCGCGGTCAAAGTTACTGCAGTCATTTGGAGCTTTCTGCAAAAAAACCAACAAGGACTGGAGTGAGAGAACAGGGAAAACTCGGTTTGATCGAATCTAAGACTTGCTTAATGCCGTTTTTCATGGTGTGTTTTTTGACCCCTGTTGAAATGTGTCGAACCAGAACCACAGCGGAAATGTTGCCTTGTTGTTTGGACTCATGTCAACTTTTCATCACGTTGGAAGTGACGTAAAAACAAACTTAAAACTTTCAAAATGAGTGAGATTTCCTTGCTTACATATTTTTACAAGGACAACTTTATACAGTAGATTGTGTGTAGCTGCCCAAACTCTGAGCTTCACCATTGTTACACATCTTGTTATGCGGTCATTATGCAGAGTACTGTCCCTCACGGTTCACCTTTCACAGCCTTATGTGTGTACTCCAATAGCATCATATCACCGTGATATGATGCTGTCTGGGTTTATATTATTATATTTCAAGTCAGAAGAAAACAAATTGTGGAAGTATTCTTTGGGCGCTCCGGTTTCCTCCACCAATAAAAACATGTACAAGATCTCTCCCCCCTCTCTGGCCAGAGACAAAAGAGATTCTGAAATCTCCCGGTTAAATAAAAGTTCTGATTCAAATATACATGTACCTAAATCTGCTCAAAAAGTGTTTTTTTGTGTGGGTTTCTTTAAGTTTGATATCTATATATTTGATTTCTGCTTTTGTTGCCGGTCCGAGTGCGAGCTGGACCACAGCCTCACCACTTTAGGTTTGAACGGCGGCTCCATCTCCTTTCGCTCCAGTCCGGTCCAGTTGATGCTCTTGAAGAACGGATGCAGACGGATGTTTCCCACGACTCCCAACCGGCGACTGGGGTCTCGCTCAAACAGCTGCAGTGGACGGAAAGAACAAAGAGCAGACAAACCCATGAAGCATCAGCGATAAAAGACTGGGATTATACTAAAAAGAGTATAATACATTAAAGCAGGGGCGTCAAACCCGTCGTCAAAGGGCTGTGTGGCTGCAGGTTTTCAGTCCAACCAAGCAGGAGCACACCACACTCCAGCCATGTCTTCAAGTCTTCAGGTTAAGACTGGAGTCACTTGAGGAAATGGGTGGAGTCTGGTGTGCTCCTTCTTGGTTCGAATGAAAACCTGCAGCCACACGGCCCTTTAAGGACCGCTTTGACAGCCCTGCAGTAGAGTATATTGACAGATTGGCTGTGAGGTCAGCTTCAAATTGGAAAGTCAGTGACAAACGGGATCCCTATAATCTGGAGTAGTCTTCCTGAAAATGTGAGACAGCCTCCTCTCTGACAATGTTTCAATCCAGGTCAAAAACAGTTCCGTTTAGCTGTGCATACAACTGAAGGATTGTATCTTCATTGTTTTTAATGTACTGTGATTATTTAGGATTTCAATGAATTGTGCTATACGTATAAACAGATTAGTACTGGTATAAAAAGACGAACAAAGCAACACATGGTGAACACTTAATTTTTTGTTGTTAAATACTACAGTACTTGCTGGACTACATTTTTCAAGATCTTTTTAGTCTACGTATTTAGAGAGTGCAAGAAGGGATTTGAACACTATTTTGTCAGTTGATCTCCAGAGCTGATGATGTAGCACACATTCCTGTTTTAGTGTGTTTATGTGAACAGCAGAGAGATGAGGAAGTGCGGGGAAATACGCAGGACTTGTTTTTATGTGATTAGGGCTTAAGAGTTTAAGGACTTCTGAGTTTTAGTAGGAATGGCACACAGGTTTATTGTCAAATGAGACTGGATGTCACCGAGTGCTTCCGGTCGCATGGCGCCGGAAAAATGGCGCCGTGGCAAGAGCTCTGGTGTGTGTCGTCTCTGTCTGGCGCACACCGGGGTAGTCTTGCACAGTTTTTCCAATGTGGTTTTACTGCAAATGGCAAATAAATTAATCTGAATCTGAATCTGATCATCACGGGTCAACGGTTAAAATACTTCATTAAATACTTTTGTGTCCAGTTAAACAGTGTGTGTGTCTTTGTGTGTGTGTGTCTGTGTGTCTGTGTGTGTGTGGCGCTCTCACCTTCTCCATCAGGTCCCGCGCCTCCTTGTTGATCCAGCGTGGATAGTGCGGCGTGTCCATTCGGATTGACTCGAACAGCTCGTCTTCATCGTCTCCGTGGAAAGGAGACTGTCCGATCAGCATCTCGTACAGAAGGACGCCGAAGGACCACCAGTCCACAGAGAACGAGTACTTCTGCCCCAGCAGGATCTGAACACACAACGTCAGAGTATTAGCACTGCGCCACTTTGGAAAACTATCCAAAAGAGGATATTTCTGACCCATCAAAAAATGAGAAAAGATACCTCAACCGCTAAAAGTTAAGCTGATCTCTCTATATCTCACACTCTCTGGCCTCTCACTCTCTGGCCTCTCACTCTCTGGCCTCTCACTCTCTGGCCTCTCACTCTCTGGCCTCTCACTCTCTGGCCTCTCACTCTCTGGCCTCTCACTCTCTGGCCTCTCACTCTCTGGCCTCTCACTCTCTGGCCTCTCACTCTCTGGCCTCTCACTCTCTGGCCTCTCACTCTCTGGCCTCTCACTCTCTGGCCTCTCACTCTCTGGCCTCTCACTCTCTGGCCTCTCACTCTCTGGCCTCTCACTCTCTGGCCTCTCACTCTCTGGCCTCTCACTCTCTGGCCTCTCACTCTCTGGCCTCTCACTCTCTGGCCTCTCACTCTCTGGCCTCTCACTCTCTGGCCTCTCACTCTCTGGCCTCCCACTCCCTGGCCTCTCACTCTCTGGCCTCCCACTCCCTGGCCTCTCACTCCCTGGCCTCTCACTCCCTGGCCTCTCACTCCCTGGCCTCTCACTCCCTGGCCTCTCACTCCCTGGTCTCTCACTCTCTGGTCTCTCACTCTCTGGTCTCTCACTCTCTGGTCTCTCACTCTCTGGTCTCTCACTCTCTGGTCTCTCACTCTCTGGTCTCTCACTCTCTGGTCTCTCACTCTCTGGTCTCTCACTCTCTGGTCTCTCACTCTCTGGTCTCTCACTCTCTGGTCTCTCTGGTCTCTCACTCTCTGGTCTCTCACTCTCTGGTCTCTCACTCTCTGGTCTCTCACTCTCTGGTCTCTCACTCTCTGGTCTCTCACTCTCTGGTCTGTCACTCTCTGGTCTCACTCTCTGGTCTCACTCTCTGGTCTCACCTCTGGAGCGATGTAGTCCGGAGTTCCACAGAAAGTTGTGGCTCGGTTTTCTCCAAACACGTTTTCTTTGCACATCCCGAAGTCTGCGATCTTTATGTGTCCGTCCTGGTCCAACATCACGTTATCAAGCTTCAGATCTCTGCAGAAGAGAAGAAAGCACAAACACTTTTAGACTATATTTGAAACGTAACCACAGACGCCAACGTCACATTAAAATAAAAATAAAAAGGTGCTAAAAGTGAGGGAGGGGTTAACCGCAAGTTTCGTCAGTGCATTTTTAAAAAGAGCAGAGAACACATGAGACATACTTTAGTTTTGAATAAAGTTCTTGTCTAACCTGTAAATGATTCCTTTGGAGTGAAGGAACTGCAGACCACAGATGATTTCTGCAGAGTAAAACCTGTGGGAAGCAAACATACAACAATTAACAGTGAAATCAATAGCCTAAATAGAAATTACTTTTAAAACAGGTATATCTTTTTCATTCATTCATTCATTCATTTTCATCCATTTATTATTCATTTCTGGGTCAGGGTGGTGGCAATCAGAGCTGTCACCCAATTCACAAAGCACCAGTCCCTCGCTGATCCTCCTGCAGGTGGTGGGTCCACAGGAAGATTGCTTGATACAGCCTTGATCTTTCAGCGTGGACTTCAGGCAAAGTGGGGTTAAGTGCCCTGCCCAGGGACACGACGACAGCAGACATCAGAGGGAGCAGATGACAAGGGTATTGGTGGAATTGAGCCCACAACGATCAGGCCCAAAGATCAACACTCTACCAACTGAGCTACTGTCGCCCAGGTATCATTGTTGAAACTTTTGTTGAAATCATACTATGCATGGGCTTTATCATGGCGTCATGATGGCCCTGAACCAGGCGTCTTTCAGTCCTGGATCTACAGCCTCAGTCCTGGATCTACAGCCTCAGCCCTGGATCTACAGCCTCAGACCTGGATCTACAGCCTCAGACCTGGATCTACAGCCTCAGCCCTGGATCTACAGCCTCAGTCCTGGATCTACAGCCTCAGCCCTGGATCTACAGCCTCAGCCCTGGATCTACAGCCTCAGCCCTGGATCTACAGCCTCAGCCCTGGATCTACAGCCTCAGCCCTGGATCTACAGCCTCAGCCCTGGATCTACAGCCTCAGTCCTGGATCTACAGCCTCAGCCCTGGATCTACAGCCTCAGCCCTGGATCTACAGCCTCAGCCCTGGATCTACAGCCTCAGCCCTGGATCTACAGCCTCAGCCCTGGATCTACAGCCTCAGCCCTGGATCTACAGCCTCAGCCCTGGATCTACAGCCTCAGTCCTGGATCTACAGCCTCAGACCTGGATCTACAGCCTCAGACCTGGATCTACAGCCTCAGTCCTGGATAAACTCCATAGATTATAGTAGTACATGTGTACTAATGCTAGTACTACTACTACTGCTGCTGCTGCTGCTGCCACTATTCCTGCTGCTGCTTCGTGTCATGTGTCGCGGACTCATTTGTAGTGAATTATTGAGCGGGACATTTGTTTGGTGCGGGACACAGGTGAATAACGGTCTCATAATGTGAAACCGGAGCAGAGACAAAAGATTAGCCTTTCTCCAACCTGCTTCTGTCCTCGGCTTCCACAAAAACACTGCACTGATGTTGTACAATTTCAGATTTTGCTCGTTGTGAGTAGATTTACAAATTACAATGATTTATTTTGTCAAAAAATGTGAAGTTTTCTGAAAAAAAATACAAAAAATTGAAATCCTTGAAGTAGCAGTTTTAATGTTGCAAAACCCCTCATAAATTTTAAAGATCTTTCTAACCACCTGAACTCACAACTGCTGAAGCTGTTGATTGTAGGTCTGAGCGCTGCTGCAGCTTTCAAAAGCCGTGCAACCACTAACAAACAGGTGCAGGAGCAGGACTGAGGGCTACGTGAGGACCAGAGAGAGAGTTACCGGAGAGCGAGACCGGAGAGCGAGACCTGAGAGCGAGACCAGAGAGCGAGACCAGAGAGCGAGACCAGAGAGCGAGACCAGAGAGCGAGACCAGAGAGCGAGACCAGAGAGCGAGACCAGAGAGCGAGACCAGAGAGCGAGACCAGAGAGCGAGACCAGAGAGCGAGACCAGAGAGCGAGACCAGAGAGCGAGACCAGAGAGCAAGACCAGAGAGCAAACCTGGACAAAAGTTCCGTATCCAATTTACAGCGGCCTCAAGAAAACCACTCATCTTGAATTTGAGTTATTTACATTTAGTCTAAACAAAACCAGCTTCTGTGATAATATTTAAACAACGTGTTCTTTCAATTCAGGACAAAGACTGTTCTGCGTTTACACAAGACCATTGAGAAGGCTTCTGGTCTTCCACAAAGGAGCATTTGCCACATCTGGTCTGCATCGATTGTAAGTGGATTTTCAGAAACAAGAAGTAGATGTCATTATCTATAACTGCATTCATCCATTTTCTTCAGCTTTACCCAGACTTCCCTATGCACACACATATCCTCCAGCAATCCTGAGGCATTCCCAGGCCAGCTGAGAGAAACAGTCCCTCTAGAGTGGTCTGGGTCTTCCTCTGGTCTCCTGCCGGTGGGATATGCCCAGAACACCTCCCCAGTAAACTGCCCAGGAGGAGGCATCCCAAACAGATGCACCAGCCACCTCAACTGGGTCCTCTTGAAATTGAGAAGCAGTGGCTCTACTCTGAGCTCCTCCTGTGTGACTGAGCTCTAAAGCCTAGAGTATACTTGCGCGGCGTGGCTTACGCTAGCGGTTGCGGTGGACCTACGTAAGCACAATTGATGTTATACTGGCGCGTTCCCCTTACGGAGTTTTTAGGAGAATGTTGTAATCCCACAACAAACCACATGAGGGCGATCACACAGGAGCGGTCCCATTTACGCTGCTACTTTGTACTCTTCAGAACAACAATAGCAAACAAAGCTGTTTGAGCTCATTACACGTGTTTCTGCTGTAGGTTTATGTGATAGTTTTATGGATTCATTATTTTATAAGTCATTTCAACTGTGATGCTGTGAATAAAGACACAGTTCTTGTTGGAAACATGGTTATTATTAAATAGTTTTCAGCACAAACAGCAAAACATATAGTGGCAAATATCTGAGACAAACATGAACGATTTACGAGTGCAGGAGGAAAGCAACAAACGCAGCTACGATTCAAACAAGACAGGAACAGTGCAAAACAAACGACTGCACAGTTTATAAGTTATATATATGTTATATATATGTTAGATAGTCCACTGTCTCCTGTATATCAGGCTCTGAGCCCAAACTGCTTTTCCTTCGAAGCACAAAGCTCTCTGCTCCATAGTGCCTCGTCCATGTCCCTGCTGCAGCCGCTTCATGCTTCCTTCCAATACACACACACGGACCAATCACAGCGGAGATTCCTTGCGGCAACCCTTACGTAGTTAGAAAATTTCGATGCTGCGCGGCAGGCGACGTAAGGGCCTTGCGGTGACCAACGCGTTGCGCAAGTGACGTCACGTCACCTCCGTAAGCTCCGCGCCGCGCAAGTATAAACTAGGCTTAAGGTAAGGGAGGGAAAGTAGATCAAGTAAATCTTTCGCCTCAGCTTCCTCTTTACCACAACATCAATAACTGTATCACTTTTTTTATTCATAACTTCAAGAACTATTCATTAGTTAACTTGTCATTTGCCTCCACTGTGTAAAAGTAATTTACCCAAAAGGATCAATAATGTTCAGCTAAGTCTAAATGATTAAAAGCCAGTCAAAACAAAGCAAAGCAAATAGAGCTACAGTAAGTTAGTTAATAGACAATTTTGCATTTGTCCAATGCCTTGAAACCCTTTTTGGTGCCATTTGTGACTCTTAAATTTAAATAAATGTTAAAGTTTGGAGTGGGTACTGTAAATGTAATTGTGGAGAAGGTCATGGTTAGCGTTAGACTAGCCATCTGCAGGACAAAATACCAAGATTTTATTGAGCCTTGCAAATATTAAACGTTAAATGAATATCTTCTCCGCTCTCCCTTTCTTCCTTTGCCCTCTGCTGTCCTGTTTCTTTGTTTCGCCTCCAAAAATACATGAATAAATCAATGAAACATAATAATGAATAAACAGAGTATCTCCTGTTACGTCCCGCTGCCCACAACTGTTCCAAGTTACAAAACAATACAAAAAAACACCTCCATCTTCAAATCATGCAGTTCTTTCTCTTGACTCATGATCCATTGTTTGGTTTTTGGAGGGAGCTGTGATGGCTGGAGGCGGGTGGATCGGCAGCACACACCACACACTCCTTTTAGGGTTTGATGCTGAGCAGACGCTAACGCCAACATATAGCATCGCTGCTATAGCTGTCAAGCAGGAGGCCACGTGAAAACATTATTACAGGGGAGGAAAAGATCGGATCATCTTTTATTTAAACTATTTGGGTAAGAGGAACGTTAAATGGCCCTGAGAGAAGACAATCATAAACAACTAGCACAGTGACACTTCAATGCTTTTTAACTGTTTTATTGTTTGAATGCATACATTTTTTAATGGATTTTATGTAATTTTACTATAAAGCACTTTGGTCGCCTTGAGTGTTGTAAAGGGCACTATAGATAAAATTGATTGATTGATTAACCATGTTTTGGTCTAATCCAGATGTGGGAAAAGTGCGGCCCTGGGCCAGATCCAGCCTGATTCACATTTCTGTGCGGCCCCCAGGCTCTTCCGAGAAATTTGACCTCAAACTGCTGCATATTTAAATTAATGAGGACCCAATACCAAGTGAAGAATTGCTACCATGGCATGTGATTAATTTATTCTGCTCTCATTAATGGACCCAAATCAACCACATGAAAACGGGTCCAGCTCTCCACAATAGAGATATATCCCAATGGTCCAACCTATTATATTCATTCACTTGTATTAATTCACTCAATGCTGTGTTCTCTCGCACTCACGTGGTTCGATGCAGCTCAAACCGTCCTTTCTCCTGAATATGAAACATCAGATCTCCGCCGTTGAGATACTCCATCACAAAGAACAGATGCTCCTGTGACAGAATGGCAGTAAGTAAGTATTCTATATTTATATAGCACATTTCACAGATCAAGCACCCAGCACTTCACCAGAAGTTCCCATTCACTCCACACAGAGTGATGACAGATACAGCACATTTCTGGCACTTCAGTATTATTCATTCACCCCATACACGGTGGAGATAAACGACTACTGTAGCCACAGCTGCCGTGAAAAACACTGACTGAACTGAGTGTGTGCCACTGTCACCAATCATTCATACACACCAGACTCATTCTAGGCAATGTGGGTGAAGTGCCTTGCCTAAGGACACAACAACAGTTTGGCACTTTACACTGTGGTACCAGAGGTCTCCCATCACAGTACAAATCAGGCCCTGCCCTGCTTAGCTTCAAAGGTGTGAGAGAATTTGAATTTAACCTGCAGGTTGCGCCACAAAACACGAAGAAGCAAGAGGCCTATTGAAACTGGAGCACCCGGAGGAAAACTACAGAGACAGGAGGAGAACATGCAAACTCCACACAGAAAGGCCGGGAGGTGGAATCGAAGCCAGGATCTTTTGCTGTGAAACACAAACTCTAACCAACGCGCCTTCCAGACAGAGTTAAAAGCGTTTGGACCGATAAGGGTTAGAGCTGGAGTGGATCAGGACTTGCCTTGGTCTGGAAAGTGGAGTAGAGGTGAGTGAGGAAGGGGTTGTCCCAGGCCAGGGCCAGGACCCTCTTCTCGATCATGGTGCACTCCACGTCGTCGTCCATCAGAACCACGTCCTTCTTCAGAGCTTTGACCGCGAAATATTCACCGCGGCCTTTTAGCTCCGCCAGCAGCACCTGCGGCAGAACAAAATAGAACGTTATGTTTATATACAGTGCCTTGCGAAAGTATTCGGCCGCCTTGAACCTTTCAACATTTCGCAACATTTCAGGCTTCAAACATAAAGATATAAAATTTAGATTTTTTTGTCATGAATCAACAAGTGGGACACAATCGTGAAATGGAACAAAATTTATTGGATAATTTAAACTTTTTTAACAAATAAAAAACTGAAAAGTGGGGCGTGCAATATTATTCGGCCCCTTTACTTTCAGTGCAGCAAACTCACTCCAGAAGTTCAGTGAGGATCTTTGAATGATCCGATGTTGTCCTAAATGACTGATGATGATAAATAGAATGCACCTGTGTGTAATCAAGTCTCCGTATAAATGCACCTGCTCTTTGATAGTCTCAGGGTTCTGTTTAAAGCGCAGAGAGAACCATGAAGACAAAGGAACACACCAGGCAGGTCCGAGATACTGTTGTGGAGAAGTTTAAAGCCGGATTTGGATACAAAAAGATTTCCCAAGCTTTAAACATCTCAAGGAGCACTATGCAAGCAATTATATTGAAATGGAAGGAGTATCAGACCACTGCAAATCTACCAAGACCCGGCCGTCCCTCCAAACTTTCATCTCAAACAAGGAGAAGACTGATCAGAGATGCAGCCAAAAGGCCCATGATCACTCTGGATGAACTGCAGATAACTACAGCTGAGGTGGGAGAGTCTGTCCATAGGACAACAATCAGTCGTGCACTGCACAAATCTGGCCTTTATGGAAGAGTGGCAAGAAGAAAGCCATTTCTCAAAGATATCCATAAAAAGTCTTGTTTAAAGTTTGCCACAAGCCACCTGGGAGACACACCAAACATGTGGAAGAAGGTGCTCTGGTCAGATGAAACCAAAATCGAACTTTTTGGCCACAATGCAAAACGACATGTTTGGCGTAAAAGCAACACAGGTCATCACCCTGAACACACCATCCCCACTGTCAAACATGTTGGTGGCAGCATCATGGTTTGGGCCTGCTTTTCTTCAGCAGGGACAGGGAAGATGGCTAAAATTGATGGGAAGATGGATGGAGCCAAATACAGGACCATTCTGGAAGAAAACCTGTTGGAGTCTGCAAAAGACCTGAGACTGGGACGGAGATTTATCTTCCAACAGGACAATGATCCAAAACTAGGGCTGTCAAACGATTAAATTTTTTTAGTTGATTAATCGCATAGTAATGGTGAGTTAACTCACGATTAATTGCATGTTTAACATTCTATTTCAAATCCACTCCAATTGAAGATAAATGAGATTATCAAATATAATTACCAGTGTTGGGTAAGTTACTTTGAAAAAGTCATTAGTTATAGTTACTAGTTACTTCTACCAAAAAGTAATTGACTTACTGAGTTACTCCACTATAAAAGTAACTAGTTACCAGTAAAAGTAACTATTGCGTGGTACCGAGCTTTAGCTGGCTGTAATTTAGGATAACTTCTAAGTAGATTAATTGTTGCAACAACCCCACCCTTTTTTAGTATGATATGTTAGTTTAGGGAACTGTCCTGCAGGCAAACAGGTATAAGACAGGCCAAGGTGCCATTTAATTAAATTGCATTTATTTTTATCCATTGATCAAACAAACAGATTACAAAACTTGCAATTGAAAGAGACTATTTTAAAATAATTAGTTCCCAAAAACACACACGAGCAACACTCACGCCTGACAGTCAAGAACCAGGGAGAATACAGTACGCAGAGCGCGCCTGACAGACAAGAACCAGGGAAATTACAGTGCGCAGAGCGCTGAGTATGTGAACGGAGCAATCTCTTGCTGCTGTTATTATAATAGCTAGATCCATGCTTGCAGCCCGTGCAAAGCTTGGACTCACTCACAGCCGCTAACAAAAACCAGAGCGGCCACGGAGGAGGCCATCTCACACGCAGCATTCTGAGTGATATTCTTATGGATAAATGGGCGAGTCATTCGGACATGCGTTAATGCGTTTTAAAAAAAATAACGCGTTAATAAAAAATTTAATTAACGTGAGTTAACGCGATAATTTTGACAGCCCTATCCAAAACATAAAGCCAAATCTACAATGGAATGGTTCACAAATAGACGTATCCAGGTGTTAGAATGGCCAAGTCAAAGTCCAGACCTGAATCCAATCGAGAATCTGTGGAAAGAGCTGAAGACTGCTGTTCACAAACGCTCTCCATCCAACCTCACTGAGCTCCAGCTGTTTTGCAAGGAAGAATGGGCAAGAATTCCAGTCTCTCGATGTGCAAAACTGATAGAGACATACCCCAAGCGACTTGCAGCTGTAATTGCAGCAAAAGGTGGCGCTACAAAGTATTAGCTCAAGGGGGCCGAATAATATTGCACGCCCCACTTCTCAGTTTTTTATTTGTTAAAAAAGTTTAAATTATCCAATAAATTTTGTTCCACTTCACGATTGTGTCCCACTTGTTTTTGATTCTTGACAAAAAATATAATTTTTATATCTTTATGTTTGAAGCCTGAAATGTGGCGAAATGTTGAAAGGTTCAAGGGGGCCGAATACTTTCGCAAGGCACTGTATTTATTATTACATGTTTATACCGTCACGACTCTCCTCTCCTTGCATCTGTGCACACTACTGAGATAAACTGTATATAGATGGACGATGCTAACCCCGCTAGCTCAATGAAGCACAACAAGGAAGCGCTCATGGAAACAGACCAGCGAGAGAGACAGACCAGAGGAAGAGACCAGAGAGACCCCAAAGAGAAACCAGAGAGAAGCCAGAAAGAAAGAGACATTTCAGAGTGATTAATTTGCGGTTTACCTATATTCAGATAGAATCCAATGAGAATCCAGAATCCTTTTGTATATATTCATGATTTTTTATGAATGTGCTTTACAAATAAATATTGATTGATTAAAAGACAAGAGGAAAGAATGCCATTTAGGAAACCCACACATACCCGAGGAGACCCGAGTAGAATCATACATATTAAACCCTAGTCAGAACCTGTCAGGTCCCATCGGGGGCAAAAATCTTCAGCTCTTGACCAGCCCAGATCTAACAGACCGATAAAGGATGTATTGTAATCAGGCTGCACTGTACCTTCCCGAAGCTGCCTTTCCCGAGGACTTTGTGGAAGATGAAGTTGTCGACGCTGATCCGAGTCAAGTGACTGATCCTGGAGACGGGCCTCTGACCTGAGCCCTCCCACAGCCGCCCGTACGGCCCGTCTGACAAAAAACACAGCTCTTTAATACTACTTCTTGTGTTAATTGATGTTTTAAGAGAAAAAGCAAAATACAAAAGGAAAAGAGACAAAACCAAAAAGGGGTGTATTCTGACATGGGCTATGGAAAAAAACGTGGTAGTCCTCTGAACTAATGACCACGATGCAGGGACCAGAGACCAGAAAGACACCATGTGAGCAAAGAGAGGGCAAAGAGAGACCAGAAAGAGACCAGAGAAAGACCAGAAAGAGAGCAGAGAGCAAAGAGACACCAGAGAGACAGACCAGAGAGAGAGAGATACCAGAGATCAGATAGATATAGCAGAGAGCAAAGAGAAACCAGAGAGGGAGACCAGAGAGGGGGAGACCAGAGAGGGGGAGACCAGAGAGGGGGAGACCAGAGAGGGGGAGACCAGAGAGGGGGAGACCAGAGAGGGGGAGACCAGAGAGGGAGACCAGAGAGGGAGACCAGAGAGAGCGAGACCAGAGAGAGCGAGAGCGAGACCAGAGAGAGCGAGAGCGAGACCAGAGAGAGCGAGAGCGAGACCAGAGAGAGCGAGACCAGAGAGAGCGAGACCAGAGAGAGGGAGACCAGAGAGAGGGAGACCAGAGAGCGAGACCAGAGAGAGCGAGACCAGAGAGAGCGAGACCAAAGAGAGGGAGACCAAAGAGAGAGACCAGAGAGAGGGAGACCAGAGAGAGTGAGACCAGAGAGAGAGGTCAGAGAAAGAGACCAGAGAGAGAGAGACCAGACCACATTCATCCAGAGCTCTGTAGATAACTGACCGTTCATGTCCAGATCCGCCAGTTTGTTCATCTCGTCGTAGATGCCGATGTCGGGGAGGTCTGGATGAGCCGGGTCTGAGCGGCGAGTGGATTTCTGACGAGAAACGCACAAACGTACATGTGTGAAGTTTTTAATTTCTTTACGAGTCGTCTAAGAGGTCTCACCTGGCTGACTTGGTTGAGCGCCTCTGCTAACAGCTTCTGGTTGATTCCACACAGATTGGCGACTTTGTCCTGACATTTGTGATGGACGTTCATGGCACAGTCTGCAACATGTGGGTAATGTCGGTTAGAGTTTAGGTTTTTATCACAGCTGTCGGCCTAAAGCAGGCATGTCAAAGTCAAATACATCAGAGGGCCAAAAAAACAAATTTGCTGCGAGCCGAGGGCCGGACTGGTTCAATGTTTATTACCTCATTGCCTGCCAGCCAATTTCAGAACAGGTACTCCCATATTGCCAGCAGTTTCTGATGATTTTTATAGATTTTTCAAGACCCACAGAATATTGTGTACTATGAAATATCTGAAATCCGAAACCAGATTCTGAAAGAATAGACTGTCTACTTTAATCAGCAAAAATAATTTTGTTTCTAGCTTGTAATCCCCAGTTGAGTAGGGGGAAGTTTTACTGAAATCACCAAAAAGCTGAGAAAAAAGAGGCACAACAAGTGCATCTAGCTGTTTTCAAACCATTCAAGGAGCGCTGATGCCACCTGCTGGCTCAATTCAATATGCTCTCAAGCTTATCCCCATACATATTAGATATAATAGACATCTGGGAACATGAAAATAGCGGAAAACGCAATTGACGTAATAGTGCGTCCATGGCAGGCAACGGGCCGGATTTGGCCCGCGGGCCTTGACTTTGACACATGTGGCCTAAAGTAACTTAAGCCCCGTTAACCACCGCTGCGATGTGTTCTGTTGATTAAAAATCAGCCGTATGACTTTATGAAAACAAACGCACTGGCTTGTGATGTCACATGTGTCATGGAAAAGGCTCCATTGTCAGTCTTGGTTCAGCCCTGGCTCAAAAATTAGACCAATGTCCATCCCATTGGAAGCGCCGGAGCGATGAGTCACTGTACATGACTCTTGGGAAAAATGCACCTGCCGCCCTAGAGAAACATGGTGGAAACTGCTGGGTCCAGTGGGAACGCTTTGGTCGAATAAATCATCTTTTTATGCTACTTTTTCCCCATTTCCATCATGCCTAATATACACATGTTCTGGATTATAATGCGCACCTGAATATAAGCCGCACCACCTACAATTTTTTAAGAAAGTCAATGTTGTCTACATATAGGCCGCTCTTGAATATAACCAGATAGACGGCTGTTCTTTAGCTAATTATGTTGATATTGTTATCTCTTTTGACAGTAAACGAGTGCCCTAAAGCTCCTAAAACTTAAGTCAAAATAATAGTCCATAAACTCTGCTCTAACAACAGTTCAAACTCTACCCCTAATCTACGCATATTAGCTGCATTGCTATATAAGCCGCAGGGTCCAAAGAACAAGAAAACAGTAGCGGCTTGTAGTGCGGAAATTATAGTACACATGTGCATATCTGGTGTGTGAGAGTTTACCTTCACACTTGAGCCCCTGCTTGACCAGACCCCACAGCAGACTGCCGCAGTGGTCGCAGAACGTTGGACTCATGTAGTTGTGAATCTTAAAGCGATGAGGCATGTCGATTTTAAACCTCTCCTTCTGAAACTGAAAACGACAAGAAACCCAAGTCAACAATTATGGATGCATCGATACCACACTAGCATCGGATATTGGTTTTATAAATTCATATCTTGAGTAAGCCTTTAATTTTGATAAGTCTGTTTGCTTCTCAGTTTTTATTCAAACAGGAGTTCATGCTGAACGTCTGAATTCCCTTCACTGGCATCGGCTCATATCGAGGGAACAATCACTATAGTTTAAAAGCGTTTTGAAAAAATAAACAGGTAAATCTTCAAGACAATTTAATGAGAACATGTTTTCCAACTCTGTTCGCACCTACATCACAATCTGCGTTCCACTTCCATCAGCTAACTGGGAGTAACTTACTAATATTTACCAACTTAGACAACCAGCGAAACAATAATTTTGCAATAATTCAATAATGATCCATTTAGTTTGAAACATTTGCTAATTCAAGTTCAATAAATAAAATGCATTTAGACATGCAGCTGCCAATTCATATATTTTTGTCTTATTAATTACTAAAATCCTATTTCAAAACTCTTCCAGGGCCTTTTAGATTATAAATTAGACACATTTTCCATGAATTTTCTTTTACTGTTGATAACTGTTGGATAATGGTGATGTTTGGTAGAGCAGGAGCACGCCAGACTCCAATCATTTCATCAAGTGAGTCTAGTCTAAACCATAGCAACCAGAAGTGTTGCTAAGACAGTTGCTAGGGCAAGCAGGTGTTTCCCCTTAATCCCCTACTAATGAAGGCGTCTGATTTGACCAATCCTTATGTAAGGCGCATATCTGGATGTATATATTCATCCATTTTCTTCCCCTTAATCCATTTCTGGGTCGGGTTAGGTTAGTTTTACCCTACTGATGATGTGTTGCAAAAGTGCGTTTTTTATTTCTAAAAAAATATAAACATAGTATATATAGGCTCAAAGAGAGCACTAAATAATGGATTTTTAAGCCCAAAATGGTGAGTGTAACACAAAAAGTTATTTAGCAAGAAGTTTACTTTTACATGTAAGTCAAAAGGAGCCAAAGCTAAAACGTTGAGCACTTTCTTATTGGGCTAGCAGCGTCAGCGGTGCTTATCTATATACAGTCTATAACTCAGAGACTACTTGAGGAAATGGGTGGAGTTGGAATTGAAACCTGTCGCTACAACGGCCCTTTGATTTGATAATTCAATCCCCAGTTGTGAAAGTTCCCATTGAAACTACACAGAGCAGCCTGAAATATGAATAATGAAGCATGGACGGCGAGCTCAGACATGTGTGACGTACCACTGTGTCCCGGCTGTTGGCTGCCGTCCCAGTGCATCTGCCAATGATCTTATCTATGCATTTCTTATGGATTGCTGCATTGCATTCTGTGGGAAAAAGAAAAAGCTTATGTGAACATACAAGTGCCAAATCAATTAAACATGATAGTAAGAATACACAGGACTGAAGAAGACTTACGCCTGCACTTGTAGCCTTGTTTGTTGAGACCCCTTTTAGGAATAAAAGAGTGAATTATTCAAAACTTCATTGCACACAATGTTCCCTAGTCATACAAACACACAAATATCAAAAACTTCTAGCATAAACATGTCCCTGTTCCTTGTCTCTCAGACTTGATACCAAACCTCAGACTACGACATCATTGACAAAATGGCCATCTTCCTTTTAAATATAAATCAGTCATATTGTGTTTATATAAAGCTAGGGTACCTAACTTTTTTGTTTCATAAATAATACTTTCCGTTTGTCCCAAAAGAAAGAATCTGGTCAAAATAAAACTCAGTGAATGCTGTCCTCTTTATCTCACTATAAAATATGTTATCTTTGGGCTGAAAGAAGGTGGTCCTCTCTTTGTCACTTTTCCATCTGAAAAAGCTGATCTAAAAATGTGACAGAGGCCAACAAGTAAATGCAGAAAACTAGTTATAGAAGCAAGCTGCAAACTGAGTCAGGAACTATAGTGACATGGATTTTATTAAATAGTTCCATTGTTGTGGTTTGAAAGTTACGTACCCCAGCTTTAAGAAATGAATTTACACTCTAAAACATGAAATGATCATATCTAAAAGCCAAAATCAGCCTAAATAATGCACAATGTTGTTTCCTTGTTTCTTTTTATTTTGGCAAGTAGTTAGCTAATGATTGTGCTCGTATCCCCGTATCTCTGAGCCCAGCACTGACCAGACGAACTCTCGACACACGGAGCAGAACGTGGGCTGTCTGAAGAAAGTGGCGATGAACTCGTGGTTTTTGATGAAGTGGATTTTGGCCTGTTTGATCGCTCCTCGTCGGCGGTTTATGGTCGGCACCTCCTCCTCTGCGGGCTGCTGCTTTCCCTCTGGTAAATGAATGAGAAAAGAACAAAAATGAAAATAATAGTCCAACACAAAAGTTGTTTGATTTATGTTCAGTTTTCACTTTACATGTGTGATGATACTCAGATTGGCTAACACAGGCACAAATAGCAAATGTGTTGGATATTCAGTAGTCCCTGGTTTATCGGCGGAGTGATGTGTTCTAATAATATCCCGCAATAAGTGAAATCTTTGAAGTAGCAGCTCTATGTTTTAAGGCTGTAATAACTCCTCACACTTTATATACTTTTATAAACAACTGAACTCGCAACTGCTGAAGTGCAATCGTGGAGATATCAAACCAGAAGAAAAAAGGGGCAGGAGCAGGACTGAGGGCTACAGGAAGACCAGAAAGAAACCAGAGAGAAACCAGAGAGAGAGACCAGGAATAGAGACGGCAGAGAGACCAGAGAGAGAGACCAGAGAAAGAGAAATCAGAGACCGAAATCTCTGAACTAACCACCAAAATGCACACAAGCCACATAAGTTCTGAAAGTCTAAATAGAGAAACATGCTGATGGTATTTGTGTTCAAGTCTTCAGCTAAAGCAGGAGACTGAACATTGATCTGTTTTACCTGAGTCTCCTCCTTCCAGAAAGTACTGCACTGCCATCATCACTTTCCCCGAAGGATGCAGATCCACCTGGAACAACCACACATTTAAAAAGGGGACATGACATCCCAAGAACAAACGACGTACATACTCACAGTGTATTCTATTCATTTAAATGTTTTGTGATCATCTGCATTTGTCTGTCTGCCATAATTCAAAAAGTTATGGGAAGATGTGGATAGATTTTCAGAACAACTGATCACAGTACTTGCTGGACCATTAGGCACACCAGTATATAAACCGCACCAGCATTTGAAAAGTAAGAACAACATGTGCCCCATTCCTACTAGTACAAGGTTGTCAAACCAGTTCTCAAAAGGCATAGTGTCTGCAGATTTTCATCCCAACTAAGCAGGAGCACACCAGACTCCTCCAATTTTGGTAGGTCTCCACGTTCAGACTGAGCCACACCGGCCCGTAGAGGGCTGGTTTGACACCTCTGTTCTGGAACTTTAAATGTCAAAATATTATTTATTTATAAGTATTATATCATTATAAGTAAAACTAAGTCCTATAACCTCTGCTCTTACTATATCCCTAATCACATAAAAACGAGTCCCGTTTATTTCCCAGTGTCTATCTGCTGTTCACATAAAACACGAAGCAGGCAGGTAAGCTACAGATCAACAGCTGGGCCCAAATCCAATAAAAAACATAATGGTATGGCTATTTTTACAGTGACAGTGCACAATACACCAGGTGCTATTGTGGCTCTCCAAAAGTGTCCAGGGGTTGATAACACTGATTGACTGACCTGTTCAGAGCTTCAAAATTAAGTATGACATGTCAATATTGGTTCAGAATTGACGGAGCTGAAGTTGGCTGAATAAGAAAGCTTCCCAGCTATTTTAACATCTGTGAAGTGGATAACTTCATCTTTTTTATGTCCCCATTTTCAATTGTGTATATTTATTCACACTGTTTGTTTTAGGTCTGATATTTTATTCACCTGATAGAAGGCATGCAATTTCTGGTCTTGGATCAGACCTCTGTGGGTGGAGCCGCCTGATTTAAAAAGCTCCCAGGTGAACCTCATCAAGAAGGAGACACACCAGAGACAAACAGAGCTCTGTACACATTGTTTGCTGTCAGAGTAGTCAAACAAAGGCAACAGCTGGATTTCAGAGATCCTTCACAACAAGGTAAAACGTGGCAATGTTGGCAGAGCTGAAGTTGGCTGATGACACTGTGAACTTGTGCATACGATTTCAAAGACTACTCTGTGTTAGCAAGGCCACATAGAAGGGCCACAATTAGCCCGCCGGCCTGAGTTTGGACATGCCTGATATAGTTCTTGTTGTGTTTTCTTACCCAGAATTCCGCTCTGCCGTTGGCCTTCTTGCAGCGCTCGGCGAGCACGGACACGCCCACTGTGACCTCGGCCAGCGGCTCCTCTGCAGTCTTCATCAGCAGGATTTCCAGGACCCGGCCCTCGTAGATGTGAGCGTCGAAACTGGCCTTCCATGCGGGGTACATAGTGGGCTTCCTCTGCACTAGGGTCTTACCGCGCTCTGCAGACACAACAGAGAAGAAAACACAGCATTCAGACATTTTTTAACTATAGGAACATCAGAAAAGACCTTTTAAAGACATAATCATTGTGTTTTGTTTGCACCCCCGACTGTAGAAAGGAGTCGATGAAGCACTGATACAGAAGAAGCCAATTAGATCTATGGGCAGGAATTTGGAGACATATTCACGAATAGCAACTACCTAGCAACAAAAGAGCCAATCAGGACTGGTCTGTTCTCACACATAGCCTGTATATAGATTGACAATTCTAACCTACTTGCGCAATAATGCCCAGTAGGGAAGTGCTCGCTCCTATTGACTTACGTGTAAAAGTAAACTCCTCTCGCTCAGTAACCGTTTGTGTCACATGAGTCATATAAGGATCAGACTCCTGTTAGTATTAGATAGCAATATGGCCTACGTGCAGGACTGTACAAGGACTCTACAAGGACTCCATGTTATGACTATGATGTGACTGTCTCTTTGTGACACGTATGTCTTTCGATGTGTGACGTGACAATGACTATATAAACTGTGTACTGCCTTTATTCTGTCTGAGGAAAAGAAACAGAGTAAACCATTGGAACTTGAGAGCAACTTAAATAAACTTCCAGAGTTTGGCACACCACGATCCGTCTCTCTCTGCCTAATCCTAACAGATTTGGTGGAGAATGCGCGGCTCAGTGTGTGCCATTCTCTGGATTGTTTTGAGGGAGTTTTGCTCTGTTTCTTTTCCTCTGCGTGAGAGATCGGCATGCTGTGTCTGGGAGCGGGGATTCCAGCAGGCTGGAAGAGCTGTTCCTGGATGCTTCTTGTCGCTTCTGTCACTTTTGTTTTTTAAATTGAAGATTCCGACGCGGAAAAGAGTTGGCAGACCTCTCGGACAGTCCTTGGAACCGGTTTGACAAGAATAAGGTAAGCAGACACCTTTTTTAATATGTAAAGTCTGCATAATTGGATATTAGCTAAATTTTGGTCTGTTTTTTGGGGTCTGTCAAACTCTCTAAATTGTATTTTTGAAGAAGTCTCGGGGTTAAAGTCCCTTTGAGCCTCGGGGTTAAAGTCCCTTTGAGAAAGTCTCGGGGTTAAAGTCCCTTTGAGCCTCGGGGTTAAAGTCCCTTTGAGAAAGTCTCGGGGTTAAAGTCCCTTTGAGCCTCGGGGTTAAAGTCCCTTTGAGAAAGTCTCGGGGGTTAAAGTCCCTTTGAGCCTCGGGGTTAAAGTCCCTTTGAGAAAAGCCTCGGGGTTAAAGTCCCTTTGAGAAAAGCCTCGGGGTTAAAGTCCCTTTGAGAAGAAGCTTCAGGGTTAAAGTCCCTTTGAGAGAAACCATGGTGAATTAAAAGTAATTATAAAAAGGGAAACGTTAAACACTAAAGAGTGCCTTTTGTTACTAGTGTGGAAAGTGATCAATTCTAGACTTGGATGACAAAAGTATAAACTACAACATCAGTTATATTTGCTTAAAAAATTAATCTTGAAAGTTCTTCTTCTGTGTCTTTCTGCCTGTGTGTGCGTGTCTGTGTGAAAGGAACCCCCCCGCCCTCGCTGCTGCTGAGCTGCTGCTCTGATTTAAAGGGGAGCTACTGCTTTAGGATTTTTGGCTTTTCATAGTAGTTATTCCGTTAAATTTGCTAAATTTGCCATTTGAACATTGTGTTAGACACAGTTACACGTTTTTAAACACCATTAGGGAATAGAAGTTTTGAATTAGTATGTTTTTGAAACCCAAAGATTAGTACAAAAAGCTTTGCTTTTCTTTTTAAATCTGCTGCTTATTTTGTGAGTCCATTATTGTATCTGATATTTCATAGCTGTTAGTGAGAATTTTTTTATGTATTTTTTATTTTAGTTACAAAAGCCGTTTTTCAAACATTTAAATTAGAATCTGTTAAGTGATTAATGATTGTAGACTTCGTCTAAAAAAGAAAGAGGGAATTAGGCTGTAAAAGTATTATATTATTAAGTTAAACTACCCAATTCACCCAATTCACATTCAAGTGGTGACTTTTGTTTTTGTTTTGACTATGCACCTGACCTTCCTCCTGCTGCAGATGCACGCAGCACAGGAGACTGGTCTAAAATGTGCTCCAATTCATACTGACTTCATTTGAAAAATGCTGCAATTATTTTAAATTAGTAGAATAGATGCTGAGATAAATAAGTGTAAAAGGGAAAGTCCATAAAGTGAAACCCAAGATGTTCAAGATTAAAAACATCACACAGTACAAAAGTATATAATACATGTTTTAAAGTTTAAAAGGTTGTTTGTTTTGAGTATAATTGTTGTTTTGATAACTTCTTTAGTTTCTGGTTTTAAAATGTCATCATTAGTAAGAGAATAAGTAATCTTTATTTACATAGCGCTTGGGAAAGCCAAGAGCGCTCAAATTGTTTTGACTTCAGAGAGAAAAACAATCTCATTCGCATACTGATATCTATTGTTTTTTTTAAATTGGCCGTTTCAAGGATTGTTTTTCAGACTCTGCCTCACTGTACGAGAGGTCACTGCTGGACACTGGACAGCAAAGCCCACCCAGCCACAGGTCACAGATCAAGGAGCAAAGGGAAATGCCACCTCCTTGCCCCTCCCCCCACTACAGAAGTAAGTGGGAGTGAGACCGGGGCCATGAAAGAGAGGTATCTGGAGACGTGATGGGTGGAGCGTCAGGTAGAGACCTAGAGGGAGTTGAAAGTGTGTCTACGTGGTTTACATCACCACAGTGTGACCTTTGAGACCTACAGGTGGTTCGTGGAGTCTGGAGAGACAACCCCAAAATTCACATACACACACATACACATACATTCATACACTCACACATTCACATTTACATATAGATACATGAAAAAGCAGAACATGAGGAAAAAAGCATTTTAAAAGTTTACTCCAATGTAAACACATTTTTAATTGTCTATCACTTGAATCTTTATTTGAATCAGTATTTTTTGAGACCAGAAATGTTCATTTGAATTCTATATTGTCATGGACTTAATTGACGTCTGTCCTGACACTTTTGATTTGTTGATTTTGTACTGTGTGAAGTAATTACATTGATGAGAATTAGATCTGATAAAAACACAAATTAGAGAAGTAAACTGCGCTTGCTTTTGTCTAAGGGACATTAGCAACAGCATGAAGAGAAATTGTCTTTAAAGTAGAATCAAAGTGACTTAACCATAGAAAGTAACTATTGCATAACAAGCTGTGTACAGGAACTGTGAGACTGCACCATTGACCAGAAGTGCATCCCAAGTGACCTGATGTGCTTCAAGTGAAAAGACTGTATCTGGAGATCTGATGTCCAACTGGAGAGACCAGAACCATGGCTTGGACCCTACTGATGTCCAAGATGACCTGACCTGATGACGACTGAGACTCACCCTCAGGGGACCCTGAGGACCTGAGGACCTGAGAGAAAAAACTGGGGAGTGATGTTTATATTTTTGAAATCATACATAGATGAGTGCTAAATGAGACAGATACTCATGATTCTTTCTTTTGTTTTTGTTTGTCCCTAGCTTCTGGACATCTGATGATCTATTGGACACAGCCATTTGCAGAACAAGAACCAGCCAATGAAAACGTCTATTGCCGATGCTTTTGCTACAACCAGAACCACAACTGTGACAAATGCAATATACATGTTAAGTATTCAGACATCTGACAGACAAAAACTTTGACTTTTTTAGTCTGGGAGACTGAGCAACTGTTAAAATGTTTGAAAATGATAAAGTATAAGTATTGTAGCGTTTTAGTAGATGTTAAATAGTAGTAAAAAAGTAGAATTTGACTTCCTTTGTTTTTCATAAACACATTTCCACATAAGAGTTAAAATAGTACCATACAATGTTATCCTTCTGATAGATCAGCTATAATATTAGAATCAGAGTATTTTAGAGATATTGAAAGTGACAGAAGTCACAAACTAGAAATATGCCTTGGCTCAAGCTGCAGCCGAGCTTTAGAGCCACAATAGTGTAGAAATAGAAATACAGTAGATAAATGCATCAACCATAGATGCTTTCAAAAATAGTGATTATTTGTAGCCAGTGCTAATATCAAATGGTAAAGGGACCATTTCAGCATTTACTTCAAAAGTAGATAAAGTTACTTACAGTTTTATGTACAGTTTTATTAGATACTGCCAAATTCACTTGTGTTCACACATGAGTGAATGTTGACAATACAAAAAGTCCATATGAGTGTAGTCTAGATTAATGCCTAGATCAATGAGATAGATTACAACCAACAGAGATTCAAAAGCATTTAAAAGCATTTTGATGTATTGGGGTGTAGCACAAAAACAGTATAGTAGATATTTAGATATTGAGAAGTTTCCAGCACAAATACCATTGTAGAATAACTGACCCCAACCCCAAACCTAATTAGCTACTATTAGGATAATACTAATTTGATTAATGATGTACATTCATCCCAAACTGCCTGACAATAATATCTTTAGATAATAAAAAGTAATAAATCACTGACCACTATAGAAGTGTAAATGTTGACCATTTGCCTTACTGTGTTCACAGTTTTATTCCTGAGAATGTAGAATAGAGATAGAACAAAATCCCACTGATAATAAGCCACTGATAATGAGAGTGTAATACCACAGAGAGATTTATTAGTTTAAGAATATGGCTCAATAGAAGCAAATATGCAAACATATTTGTAAATAGATTAGAATAGTTTAAACTATAGTGAATAGAGAGTAAAGTACACAGTCTAAGATTAAAAAGTGAAAATAATACAGTGAAATAAGTGAAGTGTAAACAATTAGCATTAGAATAAAAGTATAGAGTAATAAAAGTGAAATTAGCTTCAAAATTGAGACTCAGCTCGTTTTTGTCTGTGTTTTGACTGAATCTGCTGAGTTCTTGTGTGTCCAATAGTGTTTGTTTGTTTTTATTTTTGTTTGTTTTTATTTTTGATTTGTTTTTTGTTTGTTTTTTTTTTCCCAGGATAGAGGATAAAATCCACTGATATTGATTTGATGATTATGAGATTAATGCATACATTTTCTTTGTTTTTAATAATTTTTTCAAGTTTTTTTTGGAATTTTTTTTTTCTTTTCCATTTTATTGATTGATCAAATTGAGTGATCACATGTGATTATGTGATCAAAGGGGAGGGTGTTAGTATTAGATAGCAATATGGCCTACGTGCAGGACTGTACAAGGACTCTACAAGGACTCCATGTTATGACTATGATGTGACTGTCTCTTTGTGACACGTATGTCTTTCGATGTGTGACGTGACAATGACTATATAAACTGTGTACTGCCTTTATTCTGTCTGAGGAAAAGAAACAGAGTAAACCAGTGGAACTTGAGAGCAACTTAAATAAACTTCCAGAGTTTGGCACACCACGATCCGTCTCTCTCTGCCTAATCCTAACACTCCTTCATTTGCAGGGGAATCTGAAGCTTGCCCTAGCAACATATCTGCCTCCGTTACAGCTCGAAGCTAACACCATCTGATCAAATGCCCATATAAGGATATTGGCTCCAGCAAACTTATGTTCAAATCAGCTTTTTCCACATTAAGGCTAACACTATGGTGACGTCAGCCCTTGGTCAGTCCCCTCCTAATATACGGCCTATGGTTCCCCTTTGCAAGATTTGCTCACTGACGCCATTTTCCGGCACCAGATCAGGTCTGGGTCAGTTCTCAGGAGCGTATCTAGTTTTACAAAAACACCCCCGATGCACCACACCAAAACAATCAATGTAAGTGAATTAAGCCAAAGCAAAATTTCAGCCTTGAGCACTTCTCTATTTGGCTTCATTGATTAAGCGGGATAGAATTGTCCTTCCCTATATAGTGATATAGTAATGGTTTAAAAAAGGAGGAATTTATCTGCATTTATAAATACTGTGCCTTTCAAAAGTACTCATTCAACTTTTGCACATATTGTCAAGTTTACAACCATACACAGATTTGATAAAAACAAATAAAAAAATGAACACACATTCACACACATTTAAGACAACTGAAGTGAAAGCAAAATGATACACGATTCTGATATGATTTAAAATACAGAAAAGTGAGGTGTAAGTAAAGTGTAAGAGAACTTTCAAGAGGCGCATTGATTGACTCGAGTTAGTTTCACCTGTGGTCAGCGCCTCCTTCATTTTGATGGCACAAAAGGGCGCGTCCTCGAGCGCTGGCAGGACACCGAGGTCAAAGGAGTTAAAGGCAATTCTCAGGAACGGAGCCATGATGGATCAACACCAGGAACCTCCTGAAATGAAGACACAAAACGAGCTTTCAATATGTGATCACATTTCAAACATTAAAAAAAATCAATCTTGTTTAGGAAGGATTGGACACAAAAACATTTCATGACTGAATCACTGAACTGGTTTCCCCCAGACTAAGCTGCAACGCCAACCTGCCTGAAAGTCTCCTCAGGTCTACAGCCTCAGTCCCGGATCTACAGCCTCAGTCCCGGATCTACAGCCTCAGTCCCGGTTCTACAGCCTCAGCCCTTGATCTACAGCCAGTCTGTACGTGGAAGCGGATTTTTGTGTCAGTAGGGCCTCCCAAAGGTCTCACACGTTTCCCACTGGATTTTTTGAGGGGACAGTGCTCATCCCACTCCCTATTCACCAATGGCTTATGTGTTTGTTGGTATTGCGTTTCCTGTGTTGAATTGTTTGATTCTCTGATCTGTCGTTGAGGAATCCAGTCCTCTGAGACGACTACTGTTTAGGGCTATACAAAAATACATTTAATTGAATCCAATCGTTTTGCATTATGTAACTTTTTAACACAGGGTTATCTTAGTTTTGATGGTATTGTGTAACGTATTTCATATGGATTATTACAGAGCGTTGAACAGAGAGAGTATGACATGTGGATATGAGATCAATACAGCCCCAGCCTCAGCTCCATGCTCTTACACAGAAACAAAGAACTGGCGTGAGCTGCTAACCGGCTCCACAAACTCTGCGACCTACTGAGCCGGCTGTGACCTCGAACGACAGAAGGGAACACGGGTTTAATGATCAACAGTCATTAAATTTTTTATTGGTAGAAACATTTTCCTGACTACCTAATATTTCCTCTTTATCTTTAAGTTTAATAAGTTATTTGTTGTAATGACAAGAAAATAGCAGGGGATTTCAGAGGACCTCGCTCCTTGTTCTGTAGCCGGAGACCTAAATCGATAGCCTGTCTGTCCGTTGGAGTGGATCCTTCTCTTAAACCAGAGGTTTCTCACTTTTTCCCACTGGGTTTTTATATTAGAGTTGTTCCTTGTCAATGCAGGAAGGTCTAAGGTGATGATCAAATGTATGGACATTGGTCATTTGCCCCTTAGGGACCAAAAGCTCCATGATTTTCTTTATTATTGCATTTCTTGTGTTTGAACCATTTTTTTCTGATCTGTGCAAGCAAATTTATCGGTTTTGTAAAGTCTTCTGAGATAGCTACTGTTGTGATTTAGGGCTATGCAAAAATAAATTGAATTGAATAGTTGGACCACAATTCATTATTATTGCAATACAGCAAGTATTGGGATTTGATTCTGTGATATATTGTGGTTCATGTCCCTCATATTATTCAAAGGCATTACAAGAATCTGAGAAAACACAAATGTGAAACATAATTATTTAAATGCATTAGGCAATACTTATATTCTGCACATGCAATTAAATAGAAACAAATATAACAATACTGAGCAGAATTGTCTTTTTCCACCACCACTAGAACGACGTCATATTTGAAGGAGCAGTTCAACAAAAGAAAAAGAATCAAATCATTCACTAAGTCTGGGAACGCCTCGGGATTCCCCCAGAAGAGCATGGGGAAGTGTCAGAGGAGAGGCAGAGCTGGGAATCCCTGTGTATCCCTGTTGAATCTACCACCCCTGCAATTGGGCACCAGATAAGCAGAAGGGAATGATGCAAAATAAAAGTGTTTGAACCTGGAGTCTCCCAGTGTGAAGTCTAAACACACAGGCCCTTGCGCCATGACTCAACCAAAACTAATCCAGGACTGACATGGAGGGAAAACGTGACAAACTCCAGACCAAAACAAATTATAACAGCACAGAAACCACAACCACCGAGTCTGAAATTTGCCTAAAGTGACAATATACTGTTCAAACGCAGCTACATGCAAATTGCACAATCCTCAGGGCTGCGACCCCACTTCCTGTCTGAATAATCATAATAATAAAGTTATTCTGTTCAAAACAATGTTGTAAATTGTTTGAACAGAATAACTTTTTACGGCAGTCCCATATGCCAGATCATACTTCTAATCTAAACTAAAACACAAAGGCTATGTATGTACGTTTTACCAGGCTTTCTATAGCTTTGAGAGAGAGGAAGTTCGTAATGATAGTTCCTTATTAGACATAGGCAGAAAATGTGACAAAAGTTGAGCTGAAGGAACCACTATAGACCCGTTTCCACCAGCCGTACTTGTCTCTACCCTATCTGGTTTCCATTACACTTTATTATCTACTACCATATCCTAGCCACATTTCCTGGGAAGAAGGGTGACCATGGCTTCCAGTAGCACTCTGGCCAATCACTGTCAGAACACTTTAGTACCAGCTCAGCCTGGCTAGAACCAAGAGGGACAAGAGAAAGACAGGGCCGGTGGAAACGCTCCCAATCAGAGTTGAGCAGAGTAGAGCAGAGTTGAGCAGAGTTGAGCAGAGTTGAGCAGAGTAGAGCAGAGCAGGGCAGAGTAAAGTAGTGCTGGTGGAAACTGGCTTATGTAAATACAGTGAGGCCAAAAATCATTGACAATAGATGAACACACCTTTTAGCGCTTGAACTGTTTTGACTATGGGCCGTCTCAGTGGTCTTTCAATGTGATGGCAGAGGCAGAGGGATTCTGTTTTTATGAACTCGGATTGTGTAAATGACTGTGTGTGTATATTTTTTTTTACATTTTTTGTCACAAACCGAGACCTGGCTGAGACCGCCACAAATATTTACTCTGGGTTCTGTCCCACACTCCCACCAACCAACCAGACGCCTCAGGGAAAGAGAAGAGCTTTCGTATGCATTTTGGTGGTGGTAAATGTGTTGTTGTAGTAGAAATAGTAGTAGAACGTAAGCGTAGTACTAAGAGTAGCAGCAGCAGCAGTAATAGTAGTTTCTGTTTCTTCTCTTGTTTTGTCAAGCACTTTGTGTATGTATTGTGTGTAACTGTTCTATATAAAATAAACTTGCCTTGACATGCCTAGTAGTGGTAGAAGTAGTAGTAGTAGTAGTAGTAGTAAGAGATAGATACTTTATTGATCCCCCGAAGGAGAAATTCAGGTGTCCAGTAGTAGTAATGTTAGTAGATTTGGGGTAGTAGTGGTAGTAACAGTAGTAGAATGAATAGTAGTAGAATGAATAATAATAGTAGTAGTATGAGTAATAGTATTAAGTAGTAGTACCTGTAGTAGTGGTAGTAATAGAAGTAGTAGTAGTTTTAGAAGTAGTTGTAGTAGTTGTGGCGCAAGTAATAGTGGTGGTAGAAGTAGTAGTAAAAGAGGAAGTAGTATTAGTAGTAATAGTGATTGAAGCACTAGTATTAGTAGCAACAGAAGTAGTAATAGTTAGTAGTAGTAGTAGTATAAGTAATAGATATAGCAGTAGTATTGTGTATGTGTTCTGCTTTGAGTTTATGCTGCAAAGTTTTCTGAATCTGAGTAGTAGTAGTAGTAGAGGAAGCAGTAGTAATAGCAGTAATTGTAGTAGTAGTAATAGTAGTAGTAGTATGAGAAACTGCAGCTGTGGTTTCAGAATGAGGTGTTTGTGGTGTCTGCAGGACGTACAAAGTGTTTTCCTTTTCTCACAGTAAAAGGAAAACAGTGTAAAATGCAAAGGTTGTCATGTTCCTCCTGGACGACAGAGAGAGCTCCCCGCCCCGCCTCTTCCTGTACGCGCCCCTTTGACTCTATCTTTCTGGAGCGAGTCGGAACACGTCTGAAATCTAAACACAGACTCCGTGGTATTCACAGCCGGTCCCTCCGATGTGCAGGGCCGCCCACGACAGAAACCGCCCCAGAGAGGGAAAAAACAAGTCTGAATACAAGCAAAAATAACAGGAAGAAACAATCGAGACAGAGGGGCAACAATAAGGAGCTGTGGTCAAAGCGAGAATATTCGGATCAACGAAAAACAGGTCCCGAGTGTGAGATGATATTCCTTGACAAAAATGAGAAAAATTGTATTGTTGTTGTCTTTTGTCATTTACACACAATTTGTATGAGAGCGATTCATGCCTGCGAGAGATACAGTGGTCATTCCCTATTATTATTATTATGACCGGTTATGTTTTTTTTGCTTTATGCTGACTGTGCAGCACTTTGTAAAGACTGTAAAGTGCTAAACAAATAAAGATTTATTATTCTTAATATAACGTGGTTCACCCTAAAGCCTAGCATACATCGACAGAGTAACTGGAGACAACTAGTTGCAAGGCGGCCTTTGGCAACTGAGAGTAGATGATTGGAGATGATCAGTTGCCGAAATCGGTCGCTCTTACAACTGGAGATAAACAGTCGATCTCCGGTTTCAGTCAGTTGCCCGTGTTCTACTTTTCGGCAACTAGTTGTACTCAGATCCGGAGATATCCCTCGATGTGCGCGCCCCTAATAGATCCATGGCGCGCTCCAACAACATGTGTGTATTGCGCGCCCTCTACAGTTTATGTATTTTATTACTACACACTGTAGTTGAGGCCAGTTGCTGACGATGTACGTGCTATTATTCCCCAGACTGGCCTGCTACTAGGAGTTGCCCGTTTTTGCCAGATTGTCGATGTGTGCGGGGCAGCAACTCATAGGTGACGGATATAATCAGTTTCCAGTCCGATGTACGCTAGGCATAAGTGGCCTCGCCCTATCGCTAATGTTTATGCGTGCACATTTTCTTTTACTGCGTGCTTCTCATGCGAGCCTTTACCATCTTTCTCCTAGTGTTATAATGGTCCTCTACCGTCTTTCCCCAAATTATATTCTGGTCCTCTCCCGTTTTTCTCTTAGTGTTTTATTTGATGATGCGGCGCTCTTACAACTGGAGATAAACATCGACCGATATCGGCAACTGATCATCTCTCATCATCTACTCTCAGTTGCCAAAACCGCCTTGCAACTATTTGTCTCCAGTTACTCTGTCGATGTACGCTAGGCTTTATGCCGGTCCTCTCCATGCCAGTCGTCTCCAGTCTTTCCCCTAGTGTGATGCCGGTCCTCTCCCGTCTTTTCCCTAGTGTGATGCCGGTCCTCTCCCGTCTTTCCCCTAGTGTTATGCCGGTCCTCTCCCGTCTCCCGTCTTTCCCCTAGTGTGATGCCGGTCTTCTCCCGTCTTTCCCCTAGTGTTATGCCGGTCCTCTCCCGTCTCCCGTCTTTCCCCTAGTGTGATGCCGGTCCTCTCCCGTCTTTCCCCTAGTGTTATGCTGGTCCTCTCCCGTCTTTCCCCTAGTGTTATGCCGGTCCTCTCCCATCGTTCTCCTAGTGTTATGCCGGTCCTCTCCCGTCTTTCCCCTAGTGTTATGCCGGTCCTCTCCCGTCTTTCCCCTAGTGTTATGCCGGCCCTCTCCTGTCTTTCCCCTAGTGTTGTTTTGATGACCACTAGTGTCTGTTATGTTCAGAATAATAATCCCCTGCTGCTCTGTGAGGACACAGACTGCTGCTATGAGCTCGTCTTTAACAGTCAATGTCAATGTGGAACCGTGGGCGAAAGCGATTGATTTTTCATGTTCAACTTTGATTTGTCCACTGGATTCCATCGAACAGTCAGCTCTGTACTCTGCCACTGACACGCTTTTATGAAATATTCACTCCATGTACAATGTACTTATACTTTTTTAATGACAGCAGCTATAAAAAGGCTCTAATGAAGCTAAAGCAGAGGTTCAGATTGGAAACTGTGTGTGCACAAACCCACTGCTCTCATCCCCCTCCTGCTGCTGCGCCGCATCAGCAATCAGTCAATCACAAGCACAGCACTGTTTTGCGCTTTCATATCGTGCAGCAACCCTACTCCTCCCCTTTACCCCCTCGTTAACCTTTCTCGTATCTAACACCGTCTCATCATCTCTTTTTCCATTTCCCTGATTTGCTCATTTCTGCAGTGACAGTTTACGCTCCAGCTAATAATATACACAACTCTAGTGGCCCCCTTTTGTCTGTTTGACTCTCTCCACATGTAATAGTTTTTTAAAAATTTACAATCCAATTGTCAAACTGGGTCAAAGATGAGTTATTTTGCGCATCAGATCGTCATATCGAATGATGAATTGTTTTTATGAATAAAAATAAAAATTACATGAACAAATGGTTTATAGAATGATAGTAAACAGAAAACCATGAGTCATCATAAATAACCCGTTGTCATGTTTCTAAAGACTATTAATAGATTGGCTCTTGTTCTATCCAGGGCCAATTTATGATATTTATGATTTTAATGCTATCTTGTTCAGCACTTTGAGTTGCCTTGTGTATGAATTGTGCTATACAAATAAACTTGCCTTGCCTTGCCTTGCCAAAGAGGAACTAAAGAAGGACCTTGAAGCTGTGCATACAACTGAACGATTATAGCTTCACTATTTTAATGTACAGTGATTATCTGTGAGTTCTATGTCCAGTTTTCTTTTCTTGTTTTGTTAAGCACTTTTCCTGGTGTAGGAACTGTGTGATACACATAAACTTGCCTGGCATTGGCTTAAAAAGTAGGGCTGATGGAAACAGGACTGACGACAGCTTATTCTGACTTAAGTGATACCAAGAATTCTTACATAAATGCAGAATCAAATGCAGGACTTTGTTACATAATTAAACCAACAAAAATAGTAATATTTCCTGACATTAAAACACCCTGAGGATAATCGTAAATCAGTCAACACAAATAACTAGAAACTTGCAATGGCTGAAGCCATTGCGATTGACTGCGGAACAGATCTAATGTGGAAATCTGCTAAAAAAAATCCTTGAAATCCTTTAAAAAGCCTTGAAACTGTTAAAATACTTGATAGATATTTGAAACTCCTGAAGTCCTTGAAATTGTTGAAACCTTTAAACTCCTGAAATCCTTGAAACTGTTGAAACATTGAAACTCCTGAAATCCTTGAAACTTTTTTAAACCTGGAAACTGTTGAAAGTGTGGAAACTCCTGAAATCCTTGAACCTCCTGATATCCTTGAAACTGGTTAAATTCTTAAACAGCTGAAATCCTTGAAACTACTGAATGTATTGAAAGTGTCCTTGAAACTGAAAAATCCCCTCACCGCTGAAACAATTTGGTTCCTGTAACTAAGGAAACCTGGTCTGTGGTCATTATCTGGTGGTGGTCTGAGTCTTCGTTTGGGTCTTGGTCTGGTGGTATAATGCAACCTATTAGGTTGCATTATACATGAAAAAACCCTATTAAGTTGCATTATACTGGTTTACATGAAAAAAACCCTATTAAGTTGCATTATACTGGTTAACATGAAAAAAACCCTATTAAGTTGCATTATACTGGTTTACATGGAAAAATCCCTATTAAGTTGCATAATACTGGTTTACATGGAAAAATCCCCATTAAGTTGCATTATACTGGTTTACATGAAAAAAACCCTATTAAGTTGCATTATACTGGTTTACATGAAAAAAAACCCTATTAAGTTGCATTATACTGGTTTACATGAAAAAACCCTATTAAGTTGCATTATACTGGTTTACATGGAAAAATCCCTATTAAGTTGCATTATACTGGTTTACATGGAAAAATCCCTATTAGGTTGCATGATTACACTGAAGTCCTTGAAACTGCTGAAGTCCTTGAAACTGCTGAAGTCCTTGAAACTGCTGAAGTCCTTGAAACTGCTGAAGTCCTTGAAACTGTTGAAGTCCTTGAAACTCTTGAAATCTTGAAACTGCTGAAATCCTTGAAACTGTTGAATCCTTGAAACTGTTGAATCATTGAAACTGTAGAAATGTCTGAAAGAGCTGAAGTCCTATTAAAATGCATGGGCCTATTAAAATGCATTGCAGAATTCTCAATGCAGATTTTTGTCCGATTGCGGAAAAACCGGAAATCGCTGAAGTCCCAAAAGTAATAGCAATAATCTCCCAAACATGTGGAACGTTTTGATGTATAACTTGTGGAAATTGTTGAAAATGTGAAAGCTGTGAAACGTGTCAAAAAAAATGACGGAATAAAGAAATACAAAACCAATGGTTGACTGCGGAAGGTTCCGCAGTCAATCAATTATGCAAATTTTTCACGACACATTTCTCACTTCTAACCGCTTTTCTGGTTCTAAGAGTGCACATTTTCCAGTCATAGAGAGTTAATATAGGGGCAAACTTGCATGTGTCGGATGTGGCTCACTACCTTCCACTAAACTTTCCACACTGAATAAGCACACGTAGTTTTTTTTTCCCTTTAGTTTGGTCAGATTTTCTAGCTATGGAGACGTTTAGACCAATAATGAGAGCAGTGTTACACCTTGTCAATGCGACCATTCAGTAGCAGCAGCAGCAGGTAATGCATAGGTCACAACCAGTGGAAAATACGGCAAAAGAATGTGAGTGCCAACTAAAGGAAACTTTCTCGTGCCATGAAAAGGCAAGTTTATTTGTATAACACAGTTTGTACACAAGCCAAAGTGGTAAAGAAATAAATAACTACAGTGCATTAAAAAGAGTGAAAATACAATCCTTCAGTTGTCTGCACAGCTACAAACTGTTTTTAACCTGGATTTCAACATGGTGAGACGAAGCCTGTCTAACGTTTTCAGGAAGACAGTTCCAGATTTTAGCAGCATATATCTGAAACGCTGCCTCCCCATGTTTAGTCCTGGCACCAGAAGGAGGCCAGTCCCTGTCCTCCTCAAGAGTCCGAACAGGAGACCAGTCCCTGTGCTCCTCAAGAGTCCCAGCAGAAGACCAGTACCTGTGCTTTCAGAGTCTCAACAAGAGGCCAGTCCCTGTGCTCCTCAAGAGTCCGAACAGGAGACCAGTCCCTGTGCTCCTCAAGAGTCCCAGCAGAAGACCAGTACCTGTGCTTTCAGAGTCTCAACAAGAGGCCAGTCCCTGTGCTCCTCAAGAGTCCCGGCAGGAGACCAGTCCCTGTGCTCCTCAAGAGTCCCAGCAGGAGGCCAGTCCCTGTGCTCCTCAAGAGTCCGAACAGGAGACCAGTCCCTGTGCTCCTCAAGAGTCCCAGCAGGAGGTCAGTCCCTGTGCTTTCAGAGTCTCAACAAGAGGCCAGTCCCTGTGCTCCTCAGAGTCGGAGTTAGTTCATAAGGCACGGACATGTCACGGATGTAGTTTGGTGCCAGGCCATGGAGAGACTTGTAACAAACAGAGCTGCTTTAAAGTCTACTTTCTGATCCACGGAGCCGCTGAACACATGCGGGTGTAGCAGCAGTGAAGTGGAGGCAGCAGGGACGGTCCAGTTACGCATTGGCTTGGGCTGAAGTGCTAAAAAATGCATTGTAGTTGTAATGGTAGGATCTGTCTAAACTTTTTTCGCGTTCAAAAACAGCATAAACCACAAGTACAGTGATGTGAGAGGACACGCACTTACCCCACTGTTCCGTAAACTGGTCGCTTTGTCCTCTTTTCGCGGTGGCTTCGCTGAAAGTTGATGTTGGTGAGTCCTCCCTCTGCCTTTTCGCTCGCTCTCTGATTCCGCCGATTGAGGAAGTGTGGTGCGCGCTCCCGAGTCTGACGCTACCTGCTACGGGAGCGCGCAGAGAGAGAGAGAGAGAGAGAGAGAGAGAGAGAGAGAGAGAGAGAGAGAGAGAGAGAGAGAGAGAGAGAGAGAGAGAGAGAGAGAGAGAGAGAGAGAGAGAGAGAGAGAGAGAGAGAGAGAGAGAGAGAGAGAGAGAGAGAGAGAGAGAGAGAGAGAGAGAGAGAGAGTTTTGGAAGTTTAATTACTCCGCTTATAAAATAAAAAACCTGCACTACTACTACTAGTACTACTACTATTGGCACTTCTTTCTTGATTGACACTTTTTGTACATAATATCCTGCATTAACATGTTACACATTTCTTACTTTTTGCACTATTCTTGAGTGTTCCCATCCTTGTACATTTCTCCTGTGTGAGATTAATAAAGTACATCTTATCTTATCTTAACGTTGTGACTTTTCCTTATCTGTGTCTATGTATTTTATTTCTATTTCGTTAAATTATCTTTTGTTTTTTTAAACGTGAGTAGTTCTGCCAGTACCTCCTAGAGAAGAGCCAGTACTAGTTCCTGACCTATAGCAACACTATGTTTACTATCAGCAGTTACATTTTTTAATTATCCCCGCCTTTATTGAACTTATTTAAAAGTGTGCAAAGATAATTATCTGGTAAATAACTTTAATAAATCTGGTGTAAAACGAATTCCATTGGTTTGAATTAGAATCAAGTTCTAGTAGTTTTAGAATTCTGGGAGTCCTAATGTTAAAGATGAAATATCCCATAGTATTTGACTGTATATGAATGGACAGTGCTAAACCGCTTGCTCAATGAAGCCCAATTGGAAAGTGCTCATGGAGGAAGTTTTGCTCCAACTTGCTCTGGCTTCTAATGACTTACATTAAACTTCTGAAGCTCAGTATCCGTTTGTGTCATACTCACAATTTTGGCCTTAAAGATCCCTGGTTATGCAGTCTCTGTGATTCTGATCAATTCAATGTATGTGTGTTTATCCCTAAATCACAACCACAGTATAGTCTCTGAGAACTTTACAAAATGGTCAATTCACCAAAAACAGCTCAGAGCATCATCACTAAAACAGGCTTACACCGGATGCAAAAAGGGCCAGTGCCAACTCTCTGATATAGTCTCTATTTCCAAAACTTGCGGAACTTTTAATTGTCCAACTTCACAAAGATCAGTGTGGTACTTTCTGCGGCGCTCGTGCCAGCTCACAGGTTTTTGCAAAAAGGACAGAACTTTTGAGTGGGAGAGAGAGAGAGAGACCGTGGTTAAATACAGATTTGTTGCCAGTGGATATTTGAAATCATATTTTGGTGTCCCATCAATTATTTTAAGGCGTTCTTACACCTCGCCTACTCGCAAATCTAATTACTGAAGGCTATGAGCAACAGATCCAGAGTTGGAAGAACAAGTACAGGTGTTTTCTTTTGGCTGAGGGTTTAAACATAATTACAGCATTTAATGTTATGTAAGGTCAGCTGTTTGCATATGCAGCCAATGACACAGTGAGGCAAATACAATAACCTGCTGCAACTTTGTATCGCTTTCACAAAGGATGGACATTTGCATAATTTATGAGCTTCATTAAAAGAAGTCAATGACGCTTTTCCTTTAGCCGTTTTAGATCAATATAACAGCGAACAAAATGTCCCGGATTATCACTGTCCTTAGACCCTACTGCATCAGCAAGGAACCACTCAAAAACCCAGAGAATACATTTGAGAAATGTCGGGTAGGCCCATATTGAGAGAGGGATCCGCTTCCATGGACAGACCAGATCCAGAACTGAGGCTGTAGATCCAGGACTGAGGCTGTAGATCCAGGACTGAGGCTGTAGATCCAGGACTGAGGCTGTAGATCCAGAATTGAGGCTGTAGATCCAGGACTGAGGCTGTAGATCCAGGACTTATTCTGTAGATTGTTGATCCAGGACTGAGAGCCATTAAAGTATATTATAGCTTCACATTCAAGTACATATATTCAAGTTAATGCCTTAAACAGTTCAGGCAAAGCAATTAGGCCGAGGCTTTTGAAAGTCAGCAGCCGTGCAATAGGCCTCATGTAACTTCATCCCGTTCATGACTTTCTCAGTGTCTGTTTTTCTGCTTCAGAGGAGGAGAAAAGTCCCACGGAGCCCAGCAGGTCTTCACTGCAGACGTCCTGCAGCTCTTATGTAACAGAGAGAACACACCTTCAACTGGTTTATGCACCTTCTGTTTTCTCAAATTTCGTTGGAGTGGAAACTATTCATTCAAATTCAATGTATTTGTGTATAAGCCAGAATCCCAACAGCTGTCGCCAATACCAGCTCAGAGAATCAATCAGTTGGAACACAAGATATGCAATAATAACAAACACATAGGGAATGGGATAACCACTGTCCATAAATGTTTTTAAATGTCCCTAAAATGTCCCTAAACGTCCTGGCTTATCACTGTCCTCAGACCCTCCTGCATCGGCAAGGAACCACTCAAAAAAAACAGGGAGGGGGATAAACTCACAAGTGCAGATGAAAGAAATTGACAGAATTCAGGGGTCCCATCATCAAGCCATGAAACAGACAATGGGACAGCGGGTGAATAGCAATGAACACACTACAGGTGAAGCCATAACAATATGATGTCCGATGTTCTGCTCACATCCACTGGCTCTCCACAGGGATGTGTCTTATCACCCCTTCTGTTCATCCTTTATACGGACAATTGTAGGTCAACTCAGCCAAACTGTTATTTGGTTAAGTTTGCTGATGACACGGTTCTCCTGTCCTTACTGTCTGCTCCCTCTCTGGGTCATGGTCCTGCTCTACAGGAGTTCATCTCATGGTGCGATGACTCCCACTTAGAGCTCAATATTAGTAAAACTAAGGACATGATTGTGACCTTTTCTAACAAGCAGAGACAGCTTGCAGAGGCTGAATCTTCTGCTATCAGGGGAGAGCGTGTAGAGGTGGTTCATGAGTATAAATATCTAGGGACCATCTTTGATGACATGCTCAAATTCTCCAGTAACACTGAGGAGCTCCTAAAAAAATGCCATCAGAGGCAATATCTTTTAAGGAAATTAAGGGAGTTTGATGTCAGTCCAAACATCATGATGACCTTCTACCATGCCTTTATTGAGAGTGTTCTTTCTTTTTCATGTGTTTGCTGGTTTTACTCTGTCACTGCACAAAGCAGGGCTCAGTTAAACAGAGTAGCAAATGTCTGCTCTAAGATCATTGGCCTGCCAATCAGATCCCTTCCTGCCCTGTGTGATCAGCAGGCCATGAGAGTGGCCTGTAGGATTCTGGGTGACCCTGCTCATGTTCTCTTCCCTGTGTTTGAGTGGCTGCCTTCAGGGAGGAGGCTGCGCTCGGTGGGATGTAGGACACAGAGGAGAAGGTCCACTTTTGTTCCAACAGTGATTCAGCTGCTGAACTCAGACCAGTCATTCCCCAGCGCAGTGTTAAAACGCTCCTAACATGAACTTATACAGGATGTGTGTGTGAATGTATTTATGTGTTTTTTATTGATGTTTTTAAGCATTTAACTTGCAACTCTCCGTGCTTTTTAATTGCCCCTCGGGGATAAATAAAGTGATTGATTGATTGATTGATTGATTGATAATGATGACAGATAAAGTAGGAAGAGGAGAGGATAGTGCTGTTACCATACTTCTCCAGCAGGGGTCTCCATGTGCAGCTGGATTGAAAATCTGTGGGTTTTTTTTACTTCAAGTCTTGCCCTCTGAGCCATAACGTGAATTCATAAAAAATAATGTTTTAAGCCTGGCCTTGACTGTAGAGATTGTGTCCGCTTCCTTGACGTGGATGTGGAGCTGATAGGTGGTTGGTAACTAAACGCTCTGCCTCCTTTCTATACAATCTTAGTCATGTGTTTCTGGTATAGATCGTCCATAGGAGAGAACTGAGTCCGACTGAGTTCTGATGTCACCTATAGTGTTAGCCGAATGTGTAAGAAGCCAAATTGAACAAAAGCTAGCTGAAACCAATTTCCTTATGTGCCGCTAACATGTTGCTAAGACGTTTGCTAAGACAAGCTGGAGTTTCCCCTGTGAATGAATGGGGGAAACTCCAACTTGGTCAATCCTTATATGGCTCATATCTGGATTTACAAAGACAATATCACTATACTATAGGATCACAGCCTGTGCTAAACCACATCTTTTTGACGACCAAAATGATGAGTGTGACACAAAGTTGATGAGCTAGAGGGGTTTACTTTTCATTATAAGTCAATAGGCTTCAGAGCGAGTTGGAGCAAAACTTTGTCAATGAGCACTTCCCTATTGAGCTTCATTGAACTATCGGGTTGGCATTTTCCATCTGTAAACTGTCTATGGTTTCTTCCTGCTCCGACTAACAGGTTGAGATTGTGTCTGTGCGCTCTTCTTCAGATCCATGTGGGTTGCAGCCTATATGCAGCAGCGGGCGGCAGTAAAATTAGACCCAAAGAAAAGCCCCTCAGATCGAAGCCCCCGGTCTGAGTGGGAGGATGCAGCAGATGTATGGTTCACATGTTTATGCTCAAAGGTTCTACTTCAAAGAGTAGGGATTTAAAAGTTCATTTTTTTCAATATATCATACTGGAATGTTCTCATACAGTGAGTTGGGAAAGCATGTATCAAAGGAGACCTGATATTTATCTTTTCCCAATAACATTGATCCTTTGTCAAAAACAGTCCTGGAGTTGTGTTCAGATCTATCCACGTTAATACTGTATATATAAGGAACTTCTGTCACAAACATGTAGCTACGTCCCTGCTGTCAATTGTGTGGAGTCACTGTTTGGGCAGAGAGCTGATTGTCTGGAAGATTTTTTGTGTCATCAGATGTTGATTTTTTTTTAGCTTGAATTTTTCCATTTGAAATGTTTACCCCTGAAAAGGCATGTTTGAATATTTTTATCTTTGCATTTCAGTTATAAAAAAATCAAGTTACAAATTTCAATGCGATTAATATTTCAAAATGACATATTCCCCTTCAAAATATTCTCTTTTATTTTTTCATCCATCCATCAATTTTCTTCCCCTTAATCCATTTCTGGGTCGGGGGGAGTCAGAGCTGCACCCATTACACAGAGCACCAGCCCCTCACTGATCCTCCTGCAGGGGGTGAGTCCACAGGAGCTGAGATCTTTCAGTGGGGCTTTGGGCAAAGTGGGGTTGAGTGTCTTGCCCATGGACACAACGACATCAGTGGAAGTCTGAAGTAGGTCTTACGGTGGGGCTCGAACCCACGACCTTCAGGCTAAAGGGCCAATGCTCTACCAACTGAGCCACTGTCGCCCCAATTTCTTTTTTCAATAAAAAAAAAAAGACGGATTATTTGTTCCATCAGAAATTGAATTTTCTGTAAATTTCAGTCACTGATTATCAATTTCATAATGTTATATTCAACAGTCTAAATTCTCAGCAAAAATATACAATGGTGAAAAATTCACATGACACATCCGGTGTTCTGACGAGTTCTGTGCTCTGTCAGTTGGTCTGTCCATAAGCCAATGAACTTCTTCTTTACGGTGAAAGAATGTGCATATGGCGTCAAAATAGGGTCTCTATTTTGAGATGGCTCAGATGGTGGAGAATGGGTCCATGGGCCTAATGATTGTAAGTTCCAGTCATGGAGTTGACTTTTTGTTGATTTTTTTTCCACTTGGTTTTATTTGGATATTTTTTCTTTCTGTTTTTGAGTTTGAGTTTTTGCTTCCTGTTGTTTGCCCCTCCCTGATGTGTCACCTGTGGGTCCCACTGTGTACATAGACCCTGTGCCCCAGTCCTCTTGTTGACGGTCCATTGTAGTTTTTTCCCATGTTTTTACTTTTGTTTTTTTCTTGTATTTATTTTCATAACTTCATCCTGTTCATAAAATTTGCAAATGTTTGAGAAAAGAATCAGTTGGATTTTCATGGTTATCTCTATAATCATGCTTTTTCTCAATAATTCTATCTTTAGTAAATGACAATCTGACATCGTGGGTTAACTTTATAACATAGAAGAGAATATTGCTGCTGACTCTGTTTACCCTCCACATAATAAACTTGGAGCTGCAGTGTCATGGCTGTTGGTCTGAAGAACACGTTTCTATTTTAAACCGTAGCGATGCGGACTCTCGCCGGGGTGTGGGCGAACAAAGACGTTCAAAGTGGGACAGAGGAGATGGTCTCATACCTGCTGCAGTGCTCCCTCTCAGACTGAAGAAGGTTAAAAACGACGTACAAACCTAAAAACGTCAACGTAGAGGAGTTAAAATAGAAGCGTCGCCCCATTTCTCATATACCTTTATGTAAATGTTTCCCTGTTATGTAAGCTGCTGCCCACTCACTGAAGAGGGTACAAGACAAATAGGAGGTTTTGAAAAGTCTGTGAAAAAGGGTCAATCTGAGTGTGAGATAATCAGAAATGGTTTAAAGCCAGTGACGGTCCTTTGACTATTTGAGGCGGTAAATTAAAGTCCTATTTCCACCAGCCCTACAGGCCCTACTCTACTCAACTCAACTTGGATCTACCTGGTTGTATCTCAGCCTGGTTCTGCAGTTGCCTCACATTGGGCTGTCTCGCCTCTCCACAGATATGACTCGTGGCTTAGTAAAGTGACTTGCTTGTCTCCATAGAACATCATTACAATGTCAGTTCAATGGTGTGCTCCATATGTCACATAATTGACTGGGCCCAGTGTTTATTTCATAGATTTTTTTTGCCCGTTGGTTCAAGCCAGACTCTGGTCCCTTTTGGAGGCTAGATTAGTGAGGTATATCCTGATGTTTGTTTCTGTATTTTATTTTTATTCATAATGTGTATTGATTTGAATATGCTATAAAGGGTAAGTATAGTAGAAAATGACAACACACATTTCAATATGAGGAGTGAAAATCTCTCAGGGTCTTGTTCATGAGTGGGAGAAGGATGGAGTGAGGCTGCTGTGGTGAAGAGGGAGCAGCGTCTGCAGTTAGAGCTGTATTAGACGGTTGTGGTGAATCCAAACAGAGGTAGAGACATGTTGATAAAGGAAGCTGGAGTTTCACTTCCGAATGAAGGCCTCTGATTGGTCAATCGTAACGGCTCATGTCTGGATTCACAAATACAACATCAAACAATATCGGCCAGGATCACAGAGAGCGCTAAACAACAGATTTTGTACGCCAAAAATTGAATAAAGTGAACCAGACCAGTTTTATATTGCCTCTACTATGGTCATGTGTCTTTATTTTTTTTTCACACACATCTCCTCCATGTGTGGCTGTTTGTCTGATTACAAGACTGACCCACATGTGCAAAGTATACAAACGTTTTGGTTGAAAAAAAAAATAGTCATGATAATGCATTGGTTTTATACAACGCTTTTCTGGACATTCAAAGACACTTCACAGCACTATTCATTCACTCAGTGGCATAAACTACTGTAGCCACAGCTGCCCTGGGGCACACTGACAGAAGAGAGGAAATCAGTACATGCCATCGACCGCTCTGATCACCAACCATTCACACACATCAGACTCATCCTACACTGTAAACCCGGATCTTGTAATCTTGTGAACTGTTTAGTAGTCATTGCTTACTCTCATATGTTTTTGTCAAAATATTTGTGGCTACTAATCTTTACGAGCTGTTTATACTACTTTGGCATGACGCTGGATGAAATTATAATGTTAAGCAACAATTACTAAACCAGGTAAAATTACTCAGAGGGGCGGGGTCTATTTTCCACATTTGGCCTTTTAAAAAATGCACTTAGTTTGTATAAGTTGCTCTGGAAAGCCTGTTTGTTTTCTGTTGGTCACAGCTCATAAGCAAAGGTATTTTTATTTTTGTACACTAAAGCAGTGGTTCCCAGCCTTTTTGTCTAACGTACCCTTTGGGCCTTAATTTAATTCATACTCTGACAACCCTCTGATTCAAAGGATTTGCTGATTAAGTTAGAAACAGAATGACAAAAAATCAAATTAGTAAAATGAAATTGTACAACTTAAAGAATGGCTAAACACTCAAATCTTTACAGTGTAGGCAATGCGGGTGGTTGAAGTGTCTTGCCTAAGAACACAACAACAGAAAGAGGGATTTTGCACCCTGAAGAAGTCCAAGCAAGGCTGAAACGCGTTGGTGCGTATTTTAATCTACAGCCATGACAAAATAAAGGCTTTTTAAACTTTCTGAACTATTGACCACGAGCGTCTTGGATTTTTTTTGATTTTCTATGATCTTCACCATTTGTCCTTTACCTGGAAAGTCAAAACTCAGGATTTTTGACTTTCCAGGTAAAGGACATTTTTTTGTAACAGCAGGAGGGAATTTGGTGTTCCCAGAGGTCTCCCATCACAGCACTAACCAGGCCCTGGATCTGGCTTTCCCATGCATCTGGCACATGGCTATAGTTGCTTTGTGTGTAGAGATAGATGCCTGAGGTCTTTGGTTGAAATTCCCATGTTTTTGCGCAGTGGGAGTGATGATATAGTGCGGCTTCATTCATTCGAACATGGAGTAATATTCTCACTGGTTTGATTACATTACGCTGCAGCTTATTCAAATAGTGACGTGTGTTAAAATAGATTTTTTTTGTATACAGTTTCTAAATAACCCCTGAGTCTCTCCTTGTGGGTTAGCAAAAGGGCTGCTGTCCTCTTTGTTTGATTCTTGGCCGATTTACGTCTCCGTCCTTCTGAGTTGAATCTGGTCCAAGGCTCAGATCGTCGTCATCGCGGCTTGAGCTCGAGCAGGAGACGGTTCAGCAGCAGAAGGAGTTTGTGGGAAGCAGCAGGTGCGGCGAAAACTGAACCAAAACAGAATTTGGAAGAAAAGGCCTCGGGCTTCAAGACGGCAAGAATCCAGAACAAAACATGTAGAATAAGGCTGGGCTTATTTTGGGCCATGCACATTAGAACTCGCAGAGCAGTTTCCAATCCAATCCACTTAATTAATATAGCACATTTTATAAAAGAAGTTCCCAAATGCCTGCAGAGAGATAAAATCAACACATTTAAATATGCAAGTTTGCCAGCCTTATGTTTAAATATATGAAAGAAGAAAGAAGTACTATATAAAGTAAAATCAATACAAATGTAATGAGAAAAACAATGAAATACTAGTTATCCGATTTAAAAATAATAATAAAAACTAAAAACAATAAAGCAAATAAAACAAAAAAAGTTAAAAAAAAGCTTGCCATTTAGAAAGTGACAAAACGAATACAAAATATATATATGTTCAAATCAGATATTGCACAGTACGCAAATGTCCAAGAATAAACCTTTATTATTAGTCTCACAGTGGAGAAATTTCAGTGTCATCGTTGCACATTACAGCAGAGAAAGGAAATAAGAGCACTCAGACTGCACACATCAAAGTCTATTATTTAAGATAATAGACAATAAATTTAAGATAAAATAAAATAAAAAATAAAATAAAATAAAATAAGATAAACTCTGGGCTATAATTGCACTTGGTTCGGAGTATTTACAGACGTCTATATTATACATTAGCAGCGAAGAAAATGAGAATATGAATATGAGCAGAATAAACATCAGAAATAATATCAACAGGTAAAGTGACTTGAATGGGAGAATTATCAGATGGATATGAATAATACAGTAAGATATCAACAGGTAAAGTGACGGTGAAAGGCAGAATTATCAGATATGAAATAATACAATAGTACTGATAACAGTAAATATCAGATATGTAATACTGTAGTAGTACTGATAACAGGTAAAGTGACTAGTGACAAAGTTACTAGTGAATTATCAGTGACACTTGTGCAGACTCAGCAGTTTAATATATATATTTTTTTACGCTTTTTTGTTGTGGTTTTTTTAATCTCTGCCTTATTTTTTTTTTTTTATCTATTTGTTTATTTATTTGATAGGGACAATGTAGTCAAACATAGTTACATTATGAAAATGCAGCTGATGCGACACAGAGTGTACAGCTAATGCTAATTTTTAACTCCTGTCCCTGGTTGAGCTTTTCCCTACAGTGCAACACATTATACAGAATGAATAAAATAGGCCTAGCCCTAAGACACATATTTACAACAGTGATCTAACATTAGGGGGGGCGACAGTAGCTCAGTTGGTAGAGCATTGGCCTTCAGGCCAGAAGGTTGTGGGTTCATTTCCCACCTCGACACCTTCTCCACCGACTCCCACTGATGACTGCTGTCGTTGTGTCCTTGGGCAAGACACTTAACCCCACTTTGCCCAAAGCCCCCACTGAAAGATCAAGGCTATGCTCACACTCAGAGAGCAGCCGTCCTCCTGTGGACTCACCACCTGCAGAGGGTCAGTGAGGGGCTGGTGCTATGAGACTTGGGTGGCATCTCTGATTGCCACCCCCCTGACCCAGAAATGGATTAAAGGGTAGAAAATGGATGGATGGATGGATCTAACATTAAACACATTCCCCCACCAATGACAGCCATACAAGAACATACACACACACACACACGCACACACACACACACACACACACACACAAAATACAATTATTTACAGGTTTAGAAACAGGTGCATGTTTGGTTTGTTTTAAGCCACAGCTTGAACTTTGAGGTGAACTCCTTAAATTCTAATATGTTTTTCAGGTCAGTGGGCAGCGAGTTCCACAGTTTGGCCGTTTTTATGTAGAAAGCAGACTGACCAAATGTGGTTCTCCTGTGTGGAATCGCCAGGTTATTGATGCATTTGAATATTAATTTGAGAGAGTACAATTTTATGAAGTTTTCAAAACTTAGCAGATGACAATTTTTGAGTATATTGCAGTGGTGATATCGGGTTGGTTTCTTGTCCATAATTTGTGTTGCTTGATTGTATAATGATCCAATGCACTTTGTGGCTGAGGGAGCTGCCTGGGTCCATGCTGTCATGCAGTATGATTAATGGGAGAAGATCATCCCATGCATGTACAGCAAGGCCGCTGGGAATAAAATGTCAGTTGAGATTGCGGTGTATAGTTTTGGAAAGTTTTTGTACATGTTTATCAAATTTTAGTTGTGGATCGAGAACCAACCTGAGGTAATTGATGGTCAACGTGCCTAAAACCACGTAAGATAGTAAGTAAGTAAATAATC